AACCGCAAAACCAATGAGAGTTGGGCTTTGAACACCTTTTATATGCAGTAGGGCTTAATCGGGTGCACATCTTATGGAACCACTTATTACACTCATCAGATTTCATACCTTCCTCCACGGGAATAAGCAATATGGTTGTCCACATTTATGAGCGGATCTAGCCATCCTGAAAATCAACTAGAACGGTGACAAAAACAGAATATGTAAAAGGATTCTCAAACCTTAACTAAATAAATCAAACAAAAGTCGGCCAAGTACGCTTCGATGCAATAAATACACAAAAGCAAAATCGAAACAAATATATATGCGCCACACAAAACAATGAGAATTTAAAGAAAAGGAAAAAAAAGGCAAAGAGGGTAAAAAAGAACAATAAGGAAGAGATTGGTGTAAGGTAGTGTAATAATAATAGTGGTAATAATGGGGGAATGGAAAGGTACAATCGGAAGAAACCCTTCAGTTGAGGAAGATACAACCAGTTTTTTTGAAGAAAGTAAAAGAAGGTTACAGCAGGATCGCCACTGATTTCTATTCTGAGCCATATCTGATAACGTCTCTAGCCACTGTGTTGCGCTATCTCTCGGACCCCAGCCCGGGAGTCGTGAAGGACCAACAGAAGCCAGCCCTTTACAGGTTTCTTTCATACCACGACAACATGTCGCACACTGACCATGTTATAGAACTGCATTCACTGGTAGGTGCTCTTCTATAATATTTCTGTTTTGTTCATAATTTTTTGGTCGTGCCAATTGTTCTTTCAATGGGGTGAGGAACAAGAGATATGCCTGCAAAGTCTACTAAAGTTTCTTCAATGTGGTGCTGTTCTTCGAGTTTAATCCCCTAGTGTACGCTCTATATCTATTACTGATGCATCAACTGTGGGTATCGGCGCAGGTTTGAAGCGGGAAGTTAGACTAGCTATCTGTGTTTCACGCAAACCTACCGTTACTAAACAAGGTTATTCAAAAACTCAGCCAGAAGCATTAGATGTGTTTTGGGCTGTTAAAAGAATTCATTAATATTTATTCGGAAAGCGACTCACTATTGTTACTGATCGTGAAGCACTAAACTTTATTTATCACCTTGCAAAATACTTAACAGGTTCCTCAGCTGCTATGGTTCAACGATGGAGTGATGGTTTGAGTGCTTATGACTATACGGCTCAGCACAGGAGTGCCAAACAAATTTAACATATCGACTACATTTGTCGACAATCATACAAGATAGACCTGTTAATACTGCAGACTGTTTTTTAGTGCAACCTTTACCTGTGAGACAAATCAAATACACTTCCAACAACCAGGCGAATCTGTTTGGATTTTGCTTATTAATTCTAATACTAATGAGTAAATTGTAGATATTGGAGAGACTTTATCCAATACACTTTTGGACAGACACAGGATGAACTTAAGAAGAAGACTTTCAATCGACTACAGACAATTAGACTGCAATCTCAATTGTGACGGATGTGATGTTTGTATGAACTAACGATTCCTTTTCACTTGTTGAATGCTTGATTTCGAATTCCGAATACAGTACACTCGTTTGGGCTTATCTAGTACTTCTTGATCTGATGGCGTTATTTCTTGGATTCCTAGTTTGTACTATAATTCAAATACGTACAACTACTTACAACTGCAGGTCAAATCATTATGATGTATATGTATCAAAAATCATAGCGAAATGATAACAATAGCAATTTTAATGACAGATATTAATGACATCATTAGGACTTTTTCTAAAACTTGATTCATATTAGTAAGTACGAAATTATTTTAGTAAAATTGGAATTCTTCTTACTGCTTAGCTTTAGTATGGCATTTGTAAGAACTAATGATTTTTTTTGTACTTGATTACCCGCTAATTACGAACTCAAACTACAATACGCTCATATGCAGTCATCTGCTTCTGTTTTGCTTATATTACAGTCTCTGGAATTCATTGTTAGTACAATAAGTCGAATACTTCTAATCACCATATTGGTGTCGTCATGGAACCTGTGATCGAACAGTTGGATATACATACCTGGAAAATTTTTAAAAATAGAGTATGATCACGAAAGATTTTCAGCACGGTAGAAAATTTCGGCTCATCTCATTACATTCATCGGAATGGATGTATACATCTTGCTAAAAACGTTGACATCCGCAGATAAGTCCATTTCACTTTCCCACGCAACTCTCAAGGAACTATTACTAAATCATGTAAAATGTACTTATTTCCAATGCTGTGAAGGGGTAAAATTGCATGAAATCATTTCCTAGGACATCAGGAATTCCACTACATTACGTGTTTATCTCAGACCAATGCGTACTCAAGGTCATGCAGATAACAATTTATTTAGGAGTTGTAAAGCATGTTACAGAGGTGATCACAGGTTTGTTAAATGCTTGCCCTGTGGTAAATTTCACTCACGTAATACATGTGTATTTCGACACACGAAATGTTTTAAGTAAGGGAAAATGGGACACATTAAGTCGGTCTTTAGAGTTGTTGTTCTTTTTTCCACTAGTAATGATAAACTCTGTAGTTCCAATTATATTAAAATGGGTGTTTCTAATGGTTGTTCACTCTTATCCACGATTTCGTACGGTAATGTTCATATTCAGAAGCGATTGTATACCAACTGTGATTGATTCCACAACTTCAGTGTTGACACAGATAGTATAAATTCATATCTCAGTTCAGAATTAAATGAAGTCTCGTTAGCTTTTTATGACTCTGACAATGAGCTCCAGCAAAAACAAACTCAGGTTTCACGTAATATTTGTCGAGAAAGATGAAGGGACTTGTATTTATAAACTACTTGACGCAGAACAATGAATACATGTGTGTTTTTAACATACATGAGTTATCCTAATGATTCACATGTTTTTGATAGGAATTCTTATAAAAATGAGAACATTATGTTGAATGAATCAAGTTATGACCGGAAATCTGATGCAATTAGTATAGATGCCGATTTTTTTAATGATCCATTAGTTTCTAGTCACATTCCCAACAAACTTGATGAAAATATTCCAAAAGTATCATATCATGATGTCATATCAAATGTTATTTGTTCTTATTATGGGTTTTCTTCTGGGGGAAAACTTGGCCATTGGTTCCAAATGAATTCAAAAGGATCCTATGATCAATGTCGGAAATATGTTGTAGCGGTAAACAAATCCCAAAAATAAATAGCTCTGTAAGTTTTCGACATTGGATGTTGACCACATGTTTTAATGAACTCACCTATCTGAAGGCGCTCGGTCATGCATCCACACCAGATCACGTGTGGGAACGCCGTGCTCAACAACTACTGCAATCGCTAGCCAGACTAGATCAGACAATTCCGATATAGTGACAATCGTCAAATACAACTTCTGATCTCCTCGATTCTGTCTTTTGATGGGTACGAGTTATATTAAAAGGTGTTACCGATAAAAGCGTTGTCAAACACTAAATACCCGTGCCATCTTCAGTGTCTTAAATAAAGACGCATTGTTTGTAACTTGGATTTATGAAGATCGAACATCATTTTGTGGAGTAGGATAGTGTTGGAAAACCTACTATTCGAATTCTAGATATCAATGATTTCAGTGCACACAACCGACATGTTAATCAAATACAATTCCGATGTAGCGGTAAACGGATCCCCAAAGTTACCGGCTCTGTAAGTCTTCTACATTTGATGCTGATTTCACTAGTTCTGCTGGACTCCCATAGCTGAAGGCACTCTGTCACGAATGCGCACCAGATCACGAGCGGGTACGTCGTGCTACCCGTCGGATTCAGCTGTTAACCAGCTTGGAGTAAATGCTAACCGACATATCAGTAGCCTTTCAGATATATCTTCGAACTCCTCCATTTATGACTTTCGGTTTGATTGGGTTGGTTTACTTCTGTTATCAAGGTGTTACGTGTAAAGCCATTGTCGAACTCCGAATACTTGTAGTATATTTATAGTTATATACCTGAGTTAAAATAAGTAGAAGACTCCGTTTTTCCCATTGAATGGTCAATGTAATGAACGTCGAACCCAAACAGGTGTGAACAATTATGTGAATTAGTTGAATATTCGCTGGGATATAAGATACCTAGCTTAACACATAACAGCTGAGGTGCAAAGATGAAAGGTCAAGATATCATATCGTATAAAGACAGACTGGGACGATTCAATCAATTTCTGTCATCTTAACACAGGTCACAGGGCTATTTAATATTCACTTACAGTATATTGAACGATGAACCGGGTATTAATACAACTTATTTTTCACTTCAATCTATAACTGATAATCTGAGTGTCATCATAAGAAATTTCAAAAACTGAGATAAAATTGTTCATGTCTGGAGTTCTGTATCGCTCAAGAAATAGTGCATTATTAGAATTCAGATTCAGATTTGTGTAGTAAGGACAGACGGCTTACGGCCTATGTTATTCCTTTTCTAGTAAGCTTCTGTGAGTGTACAGTCTCTCCTTGAAAGAGTCAATTGAAGGTGCGGACACCACAGCTTCAGGCAGCAGGTCCCAATTATTGATGACTAGGTGTGAAAACCTGTATGCCACGGGTATTTTGTTCGTTCTTGGCTTTTCTACTCACCGTATCGGAACACGTGATATTAGCAACTTTTGAGGGTACTTTCAAGTCCGGGTTGGATCCTTACATTTTTATCAATTGCAAGGATTATTATCTATTACTGGGAATTCTATCCTTGCAAGAGAGTACTGACACGAGTTTCACTTGTGACCTTCATGTAGCTGACCTAGACAAATAGGCGCTTATTACTGAATACTTTAGTTGATAGGATTTTATGTGACGTAATCTATGATGAGGTGGATTCCATATGAAGAGAATATAAAATGGGCTGTGGGTAGGATATTAAACTTGAAATTTCGTCTTATTTTTAGTTGTTAATCCGTTCAGGAGTGATACTTGCGATAAACTTGACATTTCAGTTGGCGATGATGTATTTATTTTGCGACAATGTGAGGGTAAAGTTTACACGATAATTATATTATGTACCAAGATTGGTTTTATGGATTTAAAATGAATGTCTGTTCGAAGTTTGGCGTGTTTCCTAAGGCATGTGTCGCATTTAAACGGGATGATCTATCTGATGGGGTCAGTGCTGAGTTACGGATGATGGTAGAAAAATTAATATCCATGTTCGTGGTAAGTCAGTTATACCTTATTTTTTCTTCAGTCAGGAAAATATGGCAGGATGAGTAAACACTGTATGGCTCTTCGTGATGTTGTTAGTTTGAAGTACGCCCTTTCGGGAAGAATAACAAAGGTAGTTTTATTGAGTGGATAATAAGTTTTGTAGTTTGACATTATTGCTAGCCTAAGAAAGCTTCACACTCATATGTCGATGGTACAGAGGTAAATTCGTATTGCTTATTCAATATCATGTAGTAAACTATTTTTGCCATTCATCATTCGGGACGAGAATTTTAAATACATCAATCCGTACTCCATATCTCCCATAGACTTACACTGGAAGCACAAAAAGCTCATAAAAGAGCTCGAAGATTCAGAAGTTAGTTTTACGCTTTCGAAATATGTAGTACAACTCCTATTATGTGTAAACAAAACATCCGCATTTTGTTTTTCGAGTGTAATGAAATCTCTACTTTATTTGGAATATTTACACTAGATATTATTTGTCACCAGTCCTACGAGACGTTGCAATAGTTTTTTGATAATAAAAACCCTAAAGTTCGTATTTATATCACAACCTTGTAATTCATTGTCCGGGGTTTGAAATTTGGAGAGAATACGTCCATTATACTGCATTTATGTGGTTTAGTTCAGCAGTACGAATTCCTTTTTTTGTATCTTATTATGAATAACTGACTACTAATAACCCATAAGCTAAACAATAAAAACGCAGTAGGAATACTTGGAAAACAATGAAACGGCCTTCAGTCCAGGTATAGATTTGCTGACAGAATTTCTGGCAAGACTATAATTTATGGACGAACCAATTAGATATTAGATAACGAGTCACGAATTTGGGCGCGGAATTCATCCATACATTTGGCTAAATAGAGTTTTTGCACTATAGCTGATGTCAGTTCGTGATGAAGACCCTAAATCTAATTTTTAACCCTAACCATCAACTTTAAATAAGAATTCTAACTGCTTTATAACCCTCATTTAGTCCTAATTAGTAGTTGTTCACTCTCAAGGTCACTTTGGCGTCGCTCAAAGGTCGTTCATAAATTATAGTCTCACTTAATTTCTTATAATTAGAATGAATCTATTGTTCAAACTTCAGTGTGCAGCCACTAAAGCCGTAGTTGTGTAGTTCAAAGTTATTTCCTGTCATTAACTCTTATTTGTATCTAACTCCATTAGAAAGCCGGAAAATAAATGTATTCTGTAAACTAGGTTAGTAGTTAACGGCTGATAAAAACCAATTTGTCCGCCTGGTTAAGTTGATCATGAAATTCCATCGAAATTTAGGCTATTGTGTAACATTAAGTTTATTCGATAAGATTGTAGGGTTTTGGAGTAAGAAATTCACCTTTCCAGAAGCTTTCTGAAAATATTCATTCTCCATTAATAGAAACAATCTCTGGTTAGGAAAGTAAAAATATCCTATTCTTAAATACGTTATTTATTTATTTAAACGCATAAACATTAGTACAAGAGGGCACCAAACAGATATGCGCTACATAAATCATTCGATTTGTGTGAGGGCTGGGATACTACCTGGGTGCAGTTAAAGGTAAAGTTATTTGAATTTATTGTGGTGTTTTAAAAAGTCACTTTTAAGCACATCGTGGATAAATATTTCAATACAATGGTTTTATTAATATGTACCATAGAGCAGACGTTAACATTTTAAATGGTGAAAAGATATACGTGTTCTTCAGTAATTTTGGCATAGCGAACCATCAATAAAATTTATCAGTCACCTATGCATTTTCTTTTGTCTAAATTAAATATGAAGGCTGCTCATTTTTCCTTCTTATTATGTTGTGCTATTTTCCTTGCTCAATTCTACTTAGTCACACGCTTGTGCATCATGATAATCATTCGTATGTATAACTTCAACGCTATGAACGAGATTGTTCCCATTCCTCTTCTTCCCTGTCTGCCAACTAGAGCGGGTTTAGTTTGTATAGAACCTTTCTTGATATAGGCTCTAGAAGTTTATATCATTTATTTAAACACATAAACATTGGTACAAGGAGGCACCAAATAGATATGCGCCACATAAGTCATTCGATTTGTGTGAGGGCTGGAATACTGCCCGGGTGCCCGAACCGAAACAGGTGGTTTTCTAGGGAGGTCACTCATCGAGCCTTTGACCTAAAGGTTTAATCCACAAAGCAGTGGAGCACCGTAAGGAGTCGGCAAATAATACACGACGTGGAATTCTCTGGGACGACATTCGGAGAACATGTCCAAGCCACCGAAGTCGGTGTTTCAAGATGGTGACACTGATTGCATTATCGTCTCTGTGCCCGAACACACGTGCCGAACCTCTGCATTACTAACATGGTGTTGCCACTGGATGTCAGCAATCCTTCGGAGACAACGATTATCGAACACAGAAATTCTTCTAACGTCCTCAACTCGGAGAGACCAGGTTTTACGATCATAGAGCAAAACTGCTCTTACCGACGCGTTGTAAATCCGATCTTTTACAGCCAGACTAACATCACGAAGGCGCCAAAGATGGTCCAGATTAGCATGAGCCGCTCTGGCTTTCACTATACGTGCATTGATCTCATCACTCACACCCCCACCAGCACTTATGCAGCTACCCAGATACACGAACTTCTCGACTACGTCTATCTGCTCACCATCCGGGGTGAGTACAGGATTAGAATCCTGCCAGTCTTCTAGAAGCAGTTTGCACTTGGAAGGTGCAAAGCACATACCATACCTACGGACACTGATTGCCAACTGATTAAGTGCGGATTGCATGCCTTGGGCATTATCGCACAATTAGACAATATCATCCACCATCCAGGCAACAGATCCACACCACCTTTACTTACATCCATCAGAGCTGTTTCCAGAATATCGTCGATGGCAAGGTTGGAGAGGAATGGTGAGACTGGGCAACCCTGCCTAACCCCACTGCTCGAATGAAACGATGGAGAGGGGTGGTTGTATGCCCTCACTCCGCCTGAGGTGTTTGTATACAGGGCTTTTAGGATGTTAATAAACCTCTCAGGCACACCCTTCTTCAATAGACAATCCCAGAGAACAGTCCTATCCAACGAATCGAAGGCAGCCCTGATGTCAAGAAACACTACGATTGTTGGCCTTTGATAAGTACACCCTTCTTCAATAGACAATCCCAGAGAACAGTCCTATCCAAGAAACACTAAGTATGACGGTGTTCTGACATTTGGAGGAGGGTGAAGATATGATCAATACATCCTCGACCAGAACGAAACACAGCCTGCTCCTCGCGAGTCAATCTTTCTCGGGTTTTGAACAACCTACGAAGTATGACGGAAGCCAATAGTTTGGACGCAATCGGAAGTAGACATATCTCCCGATAGTTGTTATAGAGACGATGTGAACCCTTTTTGAGGATAGGGACAATTATCAACTCATTCCACAATGATGGGACACCGTCTAACTGCCAAACCTTTGTAAATAACTCAGTCAGTTCCTTAACCAGAAAGTCACCACCATCTTTAATAAGAGCCGGAGGTAAGTCATCTGGGCCACGTGATTTGTAGCGCTTCAAGAGTTGGAGTTCCTTGCGGACTTCCGCCTCATTTGGTGGATAAGTCGTCACTGGTCATGGAGTGCAGGACAGTATGACCGATGATGCCGGAGCAGCAGGCCAGTTGAACTGCCCTTCGAAAAATTCTGCCCATCGTCCAAGACGTCGATGGATGTTAGTGATTGGCATCCCATCATCCTCGCAGATTGTTTCACTCACACCAGACTTCTTCCTGCCAGTGGCTCGGATGAGTTGGAAGAGCTTCAGGTAATTACCAGATGCAGCCGCTGCTTCCAGCTCATTAGCACGCTCCGACCACCAGGCTTCTCGGTCCTTACGCAAGCTTTGCCCAATTTCCTTACATAACATCCTTCGTTTGTGGTCAAACTCACGGTGACCCGGAGCAGGCCGACGGGCTTCGATGAGTTGTAAGGAGCCAGAAGAAACCCACAACTGACTGTACCCGCCATTTTCATGGCGTAATGCAATTGCAACCAATGCTCATCCAGATAGGTACTCCAAAAGGAGTGGCAGTCTTGTACACAACCACGCCAGCGGTAGCTGATCGCGATGTGATCAATCCGAGTCCAGGCTTGAGATGCAGAAGGGGGACGCCAGGTGGCACATCGGCGATGACTGTGCCGAAAGTTAGTGCTGGCCAGGAACAGGTTGTGGTCTGTGCACAGTTGCAGTAGACGGTCCCCGTTATCTGTCCTGCGACCAACAAGTCCCCATTGGCCACCTAAACGACTCTCTTCTGTGCCCAGACGCCCGACCTGAGCATTCAAGTCTCCGGCTAGTACTACAATATCTGTCGAACGCACTTTCTATAGAAGAACAGATAACTGGTGATAAAACTCATCCTTGGTTGCATCCAGGCTGCAATCTGTCGGGGCATAGGCGGAGATGACGAAAAGACATCGTTTCTCACGCCGATTTCTTCTCACTTAGAAGGAACTCTCTAATCCAACAACAAATAACCGACTGTTAATGGGGATCCAATCGATTAGTGCTGCCTCAGCTTTAGCGCTTAGTGCGACACCAACGCCTGGTAGATCAGACGAAGATGCCACAGGGTCCCCGGATAAGCGCGCGTAAAACAAGCTTTTCGAAGCGACAGATGGAGAGCGAATTTGTAGTACTTCACCAGAGTCTTGAATACGGGTTTCGGATAGACAGCAAACATATATATTAAGACTTCCCAAAGACATAGCCAGCCCTATCTGTTGTCCAACCTGCATAAGTGTGCGAACGTTGAAGGCAGCTAGTTTGAATGGCGCGTGCGGTTTCAGAAAAACTGCTTCAGTACTCATATTCGGTAGTAAAATACAATTTTCAACCGGACAGTGACTCGAGAACGTTTAGATACAGTCGAATTTCCACCATAGATGAGCTGCTTTTTAAGTCGAAAAAATAAGTATAAATAGAATGGGAATAAAAGAGGGTGAATAATGACGTAGTAAATAATAATAATAATAATAATAATAATAATAATTCTAATAATAATAATAATGCGAGTCACTTGATTGTTGTTTGGAGCGAGAGGAATATTTTTCATAAGTAGATAGTTTATCATGTTTTTGTGTGCGGGCTGAGATACTGCCCGAGTGCCCAAACCGAAGCAGGTGGTTTTCTTAGGGAGCCACACCCCGAGCCCTTGACCTAAGGGCCTGACCCACAAGGCAGTATAGCATCGTGAGGAGATGCAGTCCCATGGTAGCCGGTGACCAAAATTTGGTTCATACACCGTTTGTTCCCTCAGGATACTGGAGCCCATGTGTTACTATACGCACTATCACAGAGAATCAATAAATAAAAAAGAAATGGATCGAAAATCAAATGACTAACTCGATACTGGATACCAAATACGGGTAAATACACACTGAAAGTGAGCGAAAAAGGTTCGCTACGAAAATATTAATACAACGAAAGTACATTGACAATTAACTGAACCAAAATCACCTTAAATCCATGTTCGAATTATAAGATTGATTGTCTTTCATACATTGTATTTGGGAATATTACGTCTCAAAATTAAGTATTGGATTTTATTATCTACCTCTTTTATTGTGTTACGCTCTTTTGGTTAATTAAAACTACTTAATCAAAAGGTTATATTTCTCTTTTTACAAAGCTTTATTTAAAACCGATTGCCTTTATAGTCATATAATTGAGTATATATATATATATATATATATATATATATATATATATATATATATTCGTACTTATTTAGCTGTCTGCTCAATGTCCTGCATATCATCCTTTCAATCTGCGCGTTCGTTTTAAAAATTTACCTAAAGCATTTCTAACAATGTACTTAGTAAGTCAAGTCTTACAAAGCTCTCAGAATGTAGTCAGTTCACCAGCTAATTTAATTCCAAACTTGGATATGAATTTTGCTGTCAATGCAAGTTCCGACTGCGCGAATTTTACCTCATACAATTGTATTCAAGATTCATATGAAAGTCATGTTAGTACAAAAAATCCTTCCGCCACTGAATTACAACCTACATCATTGCTTATGCGTTTAACCGAGGATGTTATACTGGATGGTAATGCTAAAGATAATTATGAAGTTGTTTTTACTGTAAGTTAAATATGTAAATGTGTTATTTGTAAAATTTTCTATAATTTTCTCGCATTACTGTAAATTTTGAAGTTTTCAAAGTTTCTAATAAAGTAATTTGTCAAAGTCTGTATTAAAAAACGGATATAATGCTAAGCAGTTTTCTCTATAATTATCGCAATTAATGGTAACACACTTTGACCAGCATTGTTTATAATCGATCATAGTGACGCAATTGCATAGATTCGTTGGCTACTTATAAAGCTTGAGTTTCAAAGTTATTATATTCTCTTTATTCCGTGGATTGATTTTTCTCGTATTATATTTTCCAATATCTAATCCTTTTATCTTGTTAAATTACTGTTAGTCTATTATAAGGTATGACAAATTAAAGTAATACAGTCAGTCAGTCAGCTACAACGTAGGACCAGGCATATATATATATATATATATATATATATATATATATATATATATATATATATATATATATATATATATATATATATATATATATATATATATATATATATATTGGTCCAAGCTGCCACACATCATTAGTACAACAAGATGAACGCCGAATTCATAGGGGTAGCTACTTCAATGGTAGTAATAAATAAAAGAAAGATTGTGTATAAGGATATGACACAGGGAGAAAGAATTAGTTCGTAGGATGAATGATATAAAGCGATTTTAACCTCACAGTTTAAGGGAAGAAAAAAGCGTATACACCGACACCATTTTGATCTATTCTGAGCCATGTCACCCATAGTCTCCAACAATTGGTTACGATAGTCACGCGGACCACAACCAAGTAGTCTGCATCTACCAACATGGCTAAGACTAGAAGTTAGTGACCTCAAGCACTGATATCACGTTTTGAATGACCGCCCCTAACTTTATCTCGAACATCCCCACCACTAGTTAGCATTGAGTATCTGTCAGGTTATAAGCTGTAAATTCACATCTTATGTCCTACTTTCAGTTTATATAAATGAACTAGGGTAGTTTCGGAACAGTTTGTAAGAGGTTTACAACTGTCAACTGTTGTGATAAATCTTAATGTGTGAATTGCAATTTGAGGTGTTTCATCTACAAGATTTCACCATACAGGTTAGTATCGTAAGTTTCCTACACGGCGCATATTTAGTGTCGGAGTTGAACTATATTTTAAGTTCCGGTGTTGTTTAAGTCGATATTAATGTCTGTCATACATGGATATATTTCAAGCCACTTTTATTCTCGAAGCAAAAATCTTTAATTCTGCATTTAACTAAAATGCAGTAGACTGTCCGATGAACAACAAAGTGATAACGTTGTTTATTCGGCTAATCAAAGCTTGTCAAGTGAATTAGTTGAGGTGTGGCTCGATGACTTGTATTCTCAGTTATTTATTGTTTCGTGGGATATTATATTTCTTTTTTATCTGCTTCGGCTCACTAATCCTCAGAAAACAACTATTGTGAATTAAAACCTTGTACATTGGCTTTCGATTATTTATTTAGTTGTTCTATATTTTTCTATGCAGCTTTTATGTAATCACACTTTTTATAATTTTCATTTCACAGAATCTCGACCCATTCAAATACAAAGAAAAACGTATACTACTACTCGTCACATTGACTCGTATTGGACCGATGCATTTAAAGCGTACGAAATCAGGTGGAAAGTCCATAGCATTAGGTGTTAATGAAAATAAGTCACAACAACCGAATTCAATGTTAAAACGTCCAGTCGGCGTTGCTTGCCTGGATATAACATCTTCAATTTTACCGTATTTTAGTCGTTCCTCCCAGTTATTTGATTGGGGATCTGGAAAAACAATAAAAGATGATAATTCTATATTGGATCATAAACGTATTGTGAATTTCAAATTGTACGTAAATGTAACAAAAAATGTCACTTTTTATGTCTGCTTGTTTATATTCATGTTGGTTTTTTGGACGAATCATTTTTCGGTATGTGTTATGCATCCCTAACTACCGTCTACATCGACGGGCAATGTTTGCTGATGTTGGAAGTTGGAAGAAAGCCAGGAACAGGTAAACGAAAACATGGCGTCACTCTATGAAGCCATTGACTGTTGGTTTAAGCCATGTTGGTAGGTGCAAATTATCCGGTCGGAATTCTTGCAACAACTGTGATCAATGGTTAAAGAGGCTATGTGATATGATTCACAATCTGTCACAATGACTCTTGTCCATTCACCATTTATTCTGGTTTAGATCTCGAGCTTCGTTATTGATCCATGCATACGCTTTTATAGTCCTTTCAAACCACACTCTCAACACTTAATCTTTCTCATTTTCATTGCTATTGGATTATTTTTATTTCCTTGTTATTAGTCTTGTCACGTTAATATGGTGTTTTATGACAAAGTGGGCCAACATATATTTGTGTCTGGCTCTATGTTGGCTATAACTGGCTTAGATAGTCATGCACATTCATATCGTTATCTGTTCAAGCTTGCAAGTTTTTACTACTAAAAAGTACTTCCTTGAGTTTGATTTAAGCAGAAAATCATGTAGACCTACTATCGAAAATTCCAGGAATTCAGCATGAAGGTTGTTCAGTAATACTTGATTTTCCGATAATTTTCAATACACTACAGTATTTTCATTATTATGTAAGTAACTGTTAGCTGAATAGAATCTTAACTACTGTATGCTGAGTACAAGTCGAGATCATAATACTCTGGTTGACCCATGTTGTTCAACCAATTAGTGCCAACGAATGACTCGATAATATACCACAAGTATCCCCTATAGATTTTCTATAAATAATTGTGTTTTTATTACTTCTGTTGTTTTGTTTATTTGGAATATATGCTATCCTCTTCTTCTATCCTTGTTCTAATTTGGGACTAGTCGAATGGAGTACAATGTCAAAGTAATATACCAGACAATGGGAACGTGACAGTAACTATTTAACTAACCATCTAAATATTTATTGTAATTTCCAAATCATTGTTACTTAATTTTCGTCCTGAACTGTGATTTTGTAAGACGTTTCCGATTAATAAGATTGTCACTTTGTTTCTCGAGGATTTCATATGTTCATATTTCTCCACATTTATCAATCAGTTAGAAAATGACTAAATATATGCACTTGGCATAGACGGTCTATACGCCACTACTGAATTGCACCATTTTTTAAAAATATTTTTTGATCTTCACATAGCACAACCTTAGCCATATTGATAATTTAATGAACACTAATGACACATGACAGTTAATGAATACCTAAATAATCATATTATCTCATTTCAAACTAATTTTAAATAAACTATTTTAGAACTGGTGAACAGTTTTTATCAGAAGCGTTATTACGTGCAATCAATGATACACAAGTTTTATCTTGGAGTAACAATCAAAATTCAGGTTATCCTGATATGGATTTAACAACAATTTTAAGCATTCCAAGTATTTCATTGGATTCGTCAGAAGTTCCAAAATTAGAAATTCATGAAATCACAGTATTAAATCCTTTAGAAGGTCATGTAAGTTGATCACTGTTCTTTTTTTCCTTCTTTACATACTCAGTTCAATAGTGATGAACACTGAACGGTTACTTTTAAAACATGGTGGTTGTAAATGCCGATAAATTTCCATTCTTTATAATAAAATGAGTCTCAAATCATTTTATTTCGTACGTATCGTAAAAACTAATTATAATAAATATACAGTGGTGATGAAAATTTATTTAGGTGATTGGTGTTTCAGCGTAGCTTATGAAGAATATCACAGCTGCGATACATTCTAATTGTCAGTTGAGTCCATTCTGTGTGGTTGAAATTCCACATTATTTTCTAACTCAGTAATTAACTGGAAAGTATTGATTAATATTCGATTGGGAGTAAAAAAAGTAGGCTTGAAAACTTGTTGACTACTACTCGGCCATTCGATGTAACTCCGATTTACTATCATCCAAGTTACTTTACAGTTCCTAATGTCTCAGACATTGCTGAACTACCTTTCAACAGACTGTGCTAAGTTAGGGATCAGTTACGAAGTTTTAAGCGATGTTGTATTTCAAATAGCTAACAGAGATCAGTAGCGCAAACAGACACAGTGTACAATTGAAATCAAGGGAAGAGTGTGTACACAACTCGATCAGTATTACATATAAACAAATTGTAGAATATTCAAGCATTCAATTAAATGCTTAAGGGTATACAAAACGAGACTACATATAATACAGACAAACTAAAAGCAGTTTACATTGATCAGTAACAATGACACTTATAATATTATCAGAAAGTTGACAGTTCTTTTGTGTGATACTACAGGATTCCCCTATTGGAACACTGGGATATGATGGTAAAGAGGTGGTGACTGACGTTGAAGTGCTCTAAAATGATTCTAAAATATTGAAGCGATGTACACCCAGTTGATGAGTCCCAAATAGGACGAAACGCGCATTTTGGGTTCCACTGCTAACCACTATCAAAAATTTGCTTAAATATGATTGCGACTTAATGGCACTATTGAGCCGATTTGCTTAATATATAAATATATAACATGACAACAAAAAAATGAGGAGTATGCAAAAAAATGTGTAAAGAGAAACAATGAAATGTTCTCAAAGGTCTATGAGTGTTAAAGTAAGTTAAATAAAAAAATACATTTATATTAACACGAATGGATTGTAGGTTAACAGTAATATACTGATTATTTCGATAGAATCAAGTATAGATATGCCAACGCAAACATCTCAGGAGATATTAAATAATGACATCGTCCACCGAATATTTTGGTTAGTGAACTCGTCTGTCTGATTTAGTTCCTGTTTGGAGCGTTAGGGCGATGCAAGTTGTGGTGTAGTGTTGTTTGTTCCGTTTATATCTAAACCACCCATAAATACGGGTTTTTCTACCGACATTCACACGATGGAAATCACTTTTACACCTCTACTTGGACCTCTATGTAGACCATCAGAAGATGGTTGCATTGGTCACGAGATAACATACCTTTTGATGAGAACATGCGTACAATTAGGTATTTGTGGTGGGACATGTATGTTTTAATGTTTTCTTTGCGAAAACGACATATTCAATCCATTTACATACTTTTATAACAAGTTGTACTTAGTTAAATCATTCGGAACGTGTTTACTTGAGGAAAATAATTCTCTGAGTAACCGATAAGTAGCTCCGTAAACTATCTCTGCGGTGTAGCATCCAATGTCTTTCTTTTTCCTTGATCTGATTACCAGAGTGACTGATGAGTTTTTGACAGTTAGAACAGTAGTGAGTGTGACTTGAAACTGTCGATCCAAACGTTCCACTATTTCGTTAGATATGGTGCGGTAAGTTGTTTTATGAATTTTGCTAATTCCAATCAGCCTAGTAAGTTTTCGTAATAGAGAGCTTTCGAGCGCTGCCCCTCCGTCGATGTTGATTACCGATGCTAAAATGCACTTTGGCGAGGCAGCTACTGACCAGCATGAGAACTTGTCTATGCAAGTGAAAATGTGACTGAAATCATTAGGTGGTAATAACCACCCGACGATATGGTCAAGCATGGTATTGGAATGGGTCGTTGCTATTTCGATAAATTGTAACTTTTTGACAAGTGGTCCATGCCTGGGAACAATTGTAAATCCCGGTTAGCGTTAGGTCAAACAAAAAGCTCAGTAACTGGTATAATGATGGGGTTTATTTATGGGTGGGATATTTTTTTCATATTAACAGAGATGCAGCATCTCATAGCTTGCAACACAGTGGCAAGATAACTTGGGAAGATAGCTACTTGAAATCAGATCGATTTACTGGGAAGCCGGTGTATCTTCTATATGCCATCATGTTATTGGTGAATTATGTTATCACCACTAATGAAGCTTTATTATATGAGGGTTATCTGGGAATCCATCTAGGAAGACTTACGGAACTAATGTACATGTAAGTAGTCGACCTATCTGTTTGTTCTTCTTACATTAAACTTCAACTTGGATTCAAATTATCCGCGATGTTTCAGTTTGTATATGATATTATGAAGGTTTACACTATAGACCAAGTGTAGAAAACCATTATGAGTTATGAAGCTGTAGGTAGCTGTTTTGGTCTAGTATAAGACAAGCTAGAAGTAATTATTCACTAACCCATTAGGGATCAAATTTCGGTCATTCAAATAAAACGATGAACACTATACCTTAGGACTATTAAGTTGGTATGTCTACCACACTTTCTAATTTTTCTCTTGATTTGAATTCAAGACACTAGACCATACATTTAGATAAAATTAATTATTACTGTTCACTGATTTCTAGTAAAATAAAAGATCTATTAGACTTGGTGGACTAAGTTTTAAATCAATTAGAAATATCAATAATTTACTTAATAGTAAGCTAAAGTGTTTAAAATGAATGAAGCTACGTAACCAAATACAAGTCCGTGTACACTCAGCTTGGAATTATTCAGTTATCTATGAAAGTCATAATAACACTTACTATCTTAATGTACAAACTGAATTATGTAGAGATTAGTCTGTCAACCTAAAATCAACTATTAATCTATTATTTCACATTAAACTCTTTCAATAGCCAGGTAGGCAACTTATAAAATTTACTTTACTAAGGTATAAGACATACCTTGTTTTTATCATGACAGCTGATTATTAATCAATGACTGTAAAATTAAAAAAACAACTCAGAAAACAATAAAGGTGTGTAACATTAATGGAATTGATATTTATTCCACTTGCCTCACTGTTATTATTTTCCTTAGTAATTCAAAGTTTTTACCTATGAATAAGTTTTTTCTTTAATTTTTGACATCAATTGTGTTTTGTTTATATTTTCATGTAAATTGATCAGTTCACATGTAATGATCATTGGCTAATTCATGTATTTAATGAATTAATGTATATAAATATATATATGTATAAATTAACCTACTAAGTACAAGTTTATATTATTAGACTTTGAGCTATACAACTTGTGTGGAGGTTAATGATACGACCCAACTGACTGCATAAACCATTATTTGTGCATAGTTTTAAACTAGGCTTGATAATCCAATTATTATAGGAATTGTTTAATATAACTCGATACTTACATCTTCATTTTATTCTGAGTGAGAAAAATCAATTTGTGAAAACTCAATCGTTTCGAGATCATTTAGTTTATTATCCTTTTTGATATGGATATATGATTAACTTACATTTACAAATTAGGAATGACTCGAAGTAATCCATGTGTATCCGCACATGATTGATGAAATGTATTCTCCATGTTCTTTATTTAACGAATTAACATCGCTAAAAATTACTTAGAGATGATAAAAAACGACTTTTGCAAATCATACGAGTTATTGAGTAGCTATGGTAAAAGTCGAATTTCAACCAATATGCTGTAGATTAGAAGTTCATCTATCTCTACTTCAATTTAAGAAGTGCTGAGTAGAGTAATTCTAGCACTCAAACAAACAGTATACTTAACAGAAATGTACATGACCATTTATTTGATGTGTCAAATTGAATTAAAATATTTCTGTCAAATCATTCAGCTAACCTTGTGCCTGTACTTATAGCGAGGTCTCATTTTTCTTCATCTCCTAGTCCACTAAAACCAACAGGTAACAACCATATTTTGCCTGATGTTATGTTTCGATAGATGACCAAATAATATTTTGGTGATTTGCTGTCTGAGTTGAGTGATTTAATCGTGAGGTTTTCGTTATCCTTCTGGACAGTGTCATCAGCACAAACTTCAGGTAGAAGTGAGATTTTTCAAATTTTTCCACACATGACTGACAGCTTTTTCTGTGGAAGTTGCTTTTTATTGGTTATTGTCTTTGTTGACCGTTGTCCTGTTGTCTGCATATTTATTCTGAATGTTATCCATTTTTTGACTTGAAAGTTGAACATGTAGCTAATTTACACATCTTCAATATTTCAAAACTCGAACATAATTTATGAACATTTTTTGCCTTTTCGATTCATACATTTTGTGTATGTTCTCATCGAATGTAAAGATGTGTTTTTATTCTTTTTTTTCCCTTTAAAAAATAAATCCAATGATTTATTAATAAATAATATATGCTGAAAACAATCGAAATTAATTATATCCAGCCATTCAATCGTGATGCATTATATGTACGTCGTTATGCATCACCTTACTTTAATGATCCTACAGTTATTAATAATAATGGTGTAACTCAACCACGACGTGAACTTTATGTTACTTTAATTTCTGGAAATTTCTCTAAAGGTAATAAAACTAGAGAGCATAATATTGAAGTGGAAGTCAACGTCGTAGATAGTAATGGGAATTGGGTAAGTATAATATTCATTAATGTTGCTTATTGTTATTATCTATTATTGGTTCATTAACTAGTTACAGATTTGTGTACTCAGTTTTGAATTACAGTTTTTGCATGTGTGTGTGGGGGACCTGATGATACCTACTACTACTTGGTCAGCGAAACCAAAGTAGTTGGGGCAGAGTTCGAATACTCAGCTTAGGTGTTGGTGTCGAACGTCTTAACTACTGACTCACCGTTACCTTGTTGTTTTACTTCGTCCGGTGTTTATATGGAGATGTTAGTCTTACACTGATCAATAATATATATAGTGTTATAGAATGTATATTTATATAGAAAGAGAGCGCGATAGGTTCTAGTAGTGTTGTTTTTTTGGTAGGTGTTTTAATTACATAGTTTTTATTGTTGTTCTAAGCATTATCGACCAGACTAATAATAAAAGCTTCACGTTGAAACCACCGAGCTTGGAGAATCTGGAAGTGTACTAAACATCTATATGCAGTAAAAAAACTCATCTCTACAGTGTATAAAAATGGTTCAATTAATATTTGTTTAGTTGGTGATCACTGTACCTAGATAGGTGTTTATTTGTTATTGCACCATCAGTGTCAATTGACTCATTATTGTTTCAAGAGTTTTTGTTTACGTTTATTTCTACTGAATTCAATTTGATTTTTAACAAATTCTTCTTCACTATCCCATTGGATTAATAAAAATGTAAATGACCGAATTGAATATCTCCTTGCTAAAGTAAATTCTAAATCAACTCATGGAATAGTACACTATCGATATGACCAATTTTCTATCGTTTAAAAGGTCCTCATTTGAAAATATTATATATCACGACACGTTCTCTTCTTGTCTTGGATTCGTTCAATGATATTTGGGAGTTCATTAATTTGCTAAGGTTTGCTAAGGTCATAGATTATATTTTATTTTCAATTAGTTCTGTTATGATAATTCACAAATGGGAGGAGACAGGTATTAACTTCAAATTTATCAAGTTGATAAATCTTCAATTACGGCTTTTTCAAGGATAATGAATCCTCAAATACAACATTTAACAAGAAATCAACTTTAAAATTCATATATTGTTTTAAAGTAAATTCTGCTCATTAACTTTTTTTGTATTTTCATTCCCTGATTCTTTGAATCTAAGTCATAACTATTGAATTGATAAATTCTGTAGATAATAATCACTGAAGTTAATCGGTATGTAATTAACTTAAAGTGTATGTCAAGATGATGTTCTTTGGTAGTTTCTAATAAATTTTTTTTAAAACAAGGTTTGTCTTTTGATGTAGTTGGGACTAGAAATGAAGAGAGCTGTTGTGTATCGTGTACAAATTGTGATTCGAGTTATTACTGCTATCTCGCTCTGTAACGAACTTACTTCTTGTAGTGGAAGCTTAGCTTTTGGTAATCCTAATTAAAAAATTGTTGCAATCTGGTCACATAAGTTAGTTATAGATTATTATTATGTATTATGATCACTCGAAAATTTTTTACTTAGAAATGATAATAAGGTGGCCAAATCAAGATATGACATCAGCCTATAAAGTCATTGACTTTTGAACTGATAGATAAATTTAGACTACTACTTGGTTAGGGTTGGTGTGATCATATTAACCAGTGATTAGAGCTGTTAAGTGACTACATGGCTGAAAAATCGATCATCATGATGCATACGCATCCACTCTTTGTCTTTCCTTAGATCCTGAGTTTTTAAAAATGATGTTATACTTTTTATTCCGCGTATTCATTCTCCCTGAATTATGTTTATGCTTCTGATACTGTTACTACTTCGACTACTCTAGTATTTGTCTTGATAATTTAATCTCACTCTACTGATATGGTGTAGCAACTTGGCAACGTTGCACGTAACTGACTGAATTACTAGTTGAATAAGGTAACTTCTAGAATGCTTTTTTAATTAGTGATAGTATGAATTCGATGTATTGTAAATGAATCTATTTTACTTGTGTTTACTTCATTGAAAGTTTGTAAATGAAATGATATTTAAAAAAGATTTTAAACTTCGGTAGTCATTCATTGACTAAATGTATGTTTCACTTAATAAAACAAAGCTCTTAATTATTTACAAGAATATAGTATAAACTCAACATGAATAGAGATTCAATAATAGCTGGCCAACTAATTGGTGCTATATTTTATACGTGAAAGTTTATAAATATATGGAACTAATCAGAAATTTTGGTTATTCTATGCGACGGAATTCTATATGAATTCTAGTATTGTTGAATTCTATCTCAGTAGATATCTGTAGGGAAATTGTAGGTAGTATCCACTGAATATTACTTATTTTTGTTTCACATGTATCGTGAGATTTTTGTGATAATACTTTAGGAGTTATCAGAGGGCTGTGGCACTAGAAAGCATTTATTTGTCTTAGGGCACTTACCACACTCCTGGTGTTTTGTTGCGGGGTCCAATCCATAAAATGACGACTTAACAATGTTAGAAAAGAAGATTTAGTTCTTCTGGTGATAGCTGGTAATAAATGATCGTCCATACTGATAAATCTGACTGAACACTTGAATCGGCTTCCTAAGCTCTCATAATAACCCCAGGTTAACTTGACACGACTACGTAAACACGTGAGGAAAGGCGCGAAATACAGAAAGAACGCTTTACTCCCATCCTGGTTTTGGTTCATAATTTTCAGTGCCTTCATTTCACACTTTTGAACACATCTCTGCTGCATGAAAACAGTAAGATTATTGTGTACGAGATCATAGAAATGCAATCCCACGAGAGCGTTTAGTAAAGAAGAGTTGAGTCTTATCCTCCACAATACTAGGACATTTAAAGGGGAAAGATGAAAGTGACTTCTAGACTAACATTAATTGCTTGGTATAACAATAACAGTCACTTGTTTAAAACCATATAATATGTAGTTTATGTTGAAATGTCTTTTCACAAAATATAAAACACTGCAACAAACCCCTTTATGGATGTGAAACGTGGCCGTTAAGAACAGACGATATTTGTAGGTTACTAGTACTCGATCATAGGTGTCTTCGAAGTATTTCTTGTGTATTTTTGGACTATAGAGTAAGCAATGCTTGGGTTAGAAATAGGATACTAGGCAAGGATGGAAAATCGACTAATGAGGTCATAAATCTTCATCAACTGAGGTGGTTAAGACACGTGTTATATATGCCCAACCACCGCCTACTTCAACGAGTGATGTTTTCTGGTGTAGAAGTAGGCTGGAAGAAAGTCAAGAGCAGCCAAAGCAAAGCATGACGTCGGTCCATGTAGTCACTGACAATCGAGCTTAGCTATGTTAATAGGTGTAGACTACCTGGTTGGTGTCCGTGTGATTATCTTAACCAGTGGTTAGAGATTTTGAATGACAAGGCTCAAAATCTTTTGCAATGGCTCAGGTGCATCCGTTCTTTGTCTTCCCTCAAATTCTGAAATTCTAAATTCTTCATAACTTTTTGTGTTTTTATCTAAGTAATTCATATTTTCGTGAATTGTATCTTCGATGCCTAGTCTTTTCTATTACTACTGATACTGTTACTACCTCCACTATGTTGGGATTTGGCCTGACAATCTAATCTCTCTGTGCAAATGGGGTATGGAACCTTCAGCCGACGTACATAAGTACCAGGTTCTATGTTGTGACTGACTGAATAAACCCCTAGTTCTACATATATGTGCAAACATTTTGCTATCAGTGCTGCTACTATGACACTTTACTTTCACAATATATTTGTCGCATGATTTTTATTGTAAAGCATCACTCACTTCATCAAACAATAGACAAGACGAAATATATACACGTCACTGTTATATTTCTGTCTGAATTTTTTTCAGTAGTAAACATTGTGAAAAGTTGTCAACCGTTGACAAAAGACTTTGAATACAGTATAAAATTTAAATAAATACATGAATAATTAAAAACAATTGAAAAACGGACAACTGTATCATAGTATTTTCACTGTTGAAAAAAATAAGTCCCAAAAACTTGTAAACAGGCCACCAGATATATGAGATTCAAAGGATTATTATTATTGTTTTTAGTCAAAGAGATTTAACTGGTTCCTTAGTGAACTACTTCAAGATGTTCCTAAAGTTCTGTCTGAAAGTTGTGATTGGTGGAGCTCAAATATGTTGGGAATAGAACGGCTGTTGTTCACCGTGCGACCTAAATGTCCAGCGTTAAACCCTTGGTGGGTTCGTGGGTGCACACTTCTGAGGAGTCCCATATCAGGACTAAACAACTGACTAAAGCTCTCTAATCTTTTGCTGGTGCTCAATGTGATGAGATCAGTCTATGACAAATATAACCTGCACATTATTTTAATCTATCATTGATTGTTTTTCCTAATGTGATTTAGATAAAAATAAACATTTCATATTTCACTCTTCTATTGTTTAGTTAAATCTGAATAACTCACCTGAACGTTTATCACCTGTACACAAATCAGTCGTATACTATCACAAAAATCAGCCATATTGGAGTGAATTATTTATAATCAATTTACCATACTCACCAATTGAATCCTCTTGTGTAACAACAACAATTGATAATGTGAATAATAATCTTGATCGTGATAATAATAATAACACTGAACGTTCTAGCCATGAGTCACAGCATCAACAACAGTTATTCAGTGCAAATCCAACTTATCCTGGGATGTTAGCTGGTGTACATTTGAGACTTTTATGTCGTCATCGATCTACTGGACCGGGTGGTAAGTATAGTAAAGTAATGAATAATAATAATAACAGCAATCATTTATTATTATTATTATTGTTATTATTATTATTATTATTATTATTATGCCTAAACACTGAGTAGTTCACACAACCTGTTGGTAGTTGAATTACTCTCCACAAACCCTCTGCAGTAATAATATACATATGCTTACTAGTGACTAACTTCGAGGTGTAACTACTGAAGTTCTAGTTAAAAACTATGACTATTGGAGTTCAACCATGCAAGTTGTGTGGCAGTTACTCATTAATGGGATTTGAACAGTATCTCAAATTGATTGAAGTTAGACGTGTAAACCACTGGATGCTAGCCCAGTGGTCTAAATGTTAAGCGCTTTCTTTGAGACCTGGGTTTTGGGTATGTATCACTGACAAGTTTCATATTGAGGCGAAACAGCTCTTTCTGGTTTTCCAATGAACTGTTGATATTTGTATGATGAATGTGTAATTTATGATTCCCGTTGAGCCAGTCAGTCATTCAGTCATGAATAAAATAGAACCTTTGGAACAGTGTTCATTAATTAAAGTTACTATCTTTCAACTCACTATAACGAGAGAAAAAATTAACAAGTTAAGAAGCAAGATAATGAAAGTGACAGTAATATGCTAGGCAGTTTAAGATAGTTGATAGAAAAATCTGAACTCAGATTTCGTGCTAGTTGACTCTTGTCGCCATGGGGTACATGTAATATTAAAGGAACAGTTACTATTATCTGGTGGATTCTAACTTACCAAGTTGAATTACTAATAATAATGATAATGGATGACCACAAAAATAGACAATGCTATTTAAAGAAGTGAATCATATCCGTAATAAGCTAACAAAATCAATCCTATTTCACAAGATTATAAAGAAGGCCTACATCTGTAACTATGATCAGTTTTTAGTTATTTCCTTTAATAGTTCCGGCTATAAATGATGATTATTTCACTGGTGGGAAAAGAAGTTTTATTCTGTTCCGACATAGATACCTTTCCATCAATTACTTCATCATCTTTCGTGTAGTAGTTTATGCGAATCTACTCCTGTTCTGTCAAATATAGTTCATTTAGATAAATAATTGTTGAACTTATGTAACACATATGTCCAGATCGTCAAACTAGATGAAATTTCACAGTCTCATAAATTGAATCATTATCTATACCAAGTAACCTAAGCATAATCCCTCTTTATTACTTAATCATTGATTTCACCATACACAAGTAATATTTCAATGATATTTTTTAAAATTAAAACTACTAGCAAAATATGGATAGCATACAGTAGTCAAAGACCATGTTTTATCATGACTTTGTTTTACTGTACCACTTCCTTCTTTTTTTTAACTCCTTCAAAGTAATGATAATGATGAATTCGTTTAAATTACATTTTGTCAAATTCTTATTTACCGTCCCAATTTCACTTGTTCACACATGAACAAATAATCAGTGAAATTTTATGTTGATCATTTAGACTTTAATTGAATATTTGTTTATATGCATATGTTACTAGGTGTTCAGTCATCATAATTTGTTTACGATTCAATAATAATAATAATAATAATAATAATAATAATAATAATAATAATAGTAATAATTGTAATGATGATAACAGTTGTAGCAGTGTTTATCAAATGACGTAAGCTGAATATGTGTACTTTTTTTTCCATCGATAGAATTTACAATCTAGTGTAAGTATGATAATGATTTTCATCGAATTTAATTTCTGTGGTTTGATAAGAAGAGGTTAAATTAGAAATTAATAGTTTAACCTATTGGTAAATGTATCGCGAAATTTATCCATCAATATTTGGATTTAATGCTGCTGAATAATATTAGGGACTAATGAATTAAGTCATTGGACAACTAATCGGCATCAATCATTCAATTTCTTCTCCATTATGATTTTCATCTTGGATAAAAATTGTATATTTCTAGTAATTAATAATTCTTCACAAAAATCACGAACTAGATTTTATGTACTGAGATTCCTGCTGATTATTATGACATAAGTAAATTATTGGGGTCCGAGGTAGAAATTGTTTTATTTGATGCCGATCTAACTTCATCCTTATAATCATACTGATCTACGTGGTCATAACATTTATGCTGACATTGGATCAGTTACAAAATCCTGTTTGAAATATTCCGACTGGCGTCCAGTTTTCTTAATTAGTAATTTCCTCCCAATTGTTTACTAAACGATTGTCATATTGATATGATTGAGTTAAGTCAGCTGTAGGACCGCTCTTACAAATAATTATACTACAGAGTTAGTATTGGTATTGTGCTTCAGCGAGTAATTCAAATCATCATAATAATTTATTTTACATTACTCCTTTTACACCTCGTTGAGGAGCGTAGGCCGCCCACCAGCATTCTCTATCTAACCCTGTCCTGGGCAGTCTTTTCCGGTTGCCTCGAATGGTTATTCATTATTTTGATGTATGCATCCAATTCGCTACACAGTGCTTTCTTTGGTTTTCCTCTTTTCCGTTTTCCTTCAGGATTCCAAGTTAGCCCTTGCCTCGTGATGCAGTTTGCTAATTTCCGAAATGTATGTCCTGTCCCACTTCCAACGTCTTTTCCTAATTTCCTCTTCAAATGGAATCTGGTTTGCTCTCTTCCATAGCAGGCTTTTTGCTGATGGTATCCGGCCAACAGACATTGAATATCTTACCCAAACAATTGTTTACAGATACTTGTACCTTTTTGATGATTGTTGTGGTAGTTCTCGAAGTTTCATTTTCGTACAGTAGAACTGTCTTGATATTCGCATTGAAGACTCTGACTTTGATATTAGACTTTTGTCCTTGCCTTGTCAACACTTGCCTCCTTGTTCATCGATGATGCTGTTGACCAGGTACATGAAAGACTCCACCTCTTCTGGAGTTTATCCATTAAGTTTGATTGGGTTGGTGTTCTCTGTGTTGTATTTGAGGATTTTACTTTTTCCCTTGTGTATGTTGAGACCTGCTGATCCAGAGGCTTCTGCTACAGTGGTTATCTTCATCTGCATTTGTTTGTGTGTATAGAATAAAAGGGTCAGGTCGTCTGCAAAGTCAACTCTCCCAATTGATTTTGAGATGTGCATTGTATTCCGTTCTTCCCGTCAGATGTTAGAGGTCTTCATAATCCAGTGAAATACCCGAAGAAAGAGAAATGGTGAGAGTAAGCGTTCTTGTCTGACACCAGTTTTCACTTGGGATGGGTCTGTCAGCTGTCCTCCGTGCACCACTTTGCAGTGTAGTCTGTCATATGAATTCCGTATTATGTTGACCTTCGTCATTTAATAACAAAATGGAATTGCGTAGAAAGTGTTTAAATTATTTACAGAATGATTAGCAGAAATAAAATTAATAAACAGTTACTGCATTAGGTATTATGCAAAATAAATAATTTTGTTGACCAGATTGTTAATGTGTAAATCCGTTGTATTATAAATGACTCATTTTAAGGTAACATGTTGATAGTTCTATATTCCATCTCTTGGGATTTAATGTGACCATGTACTACTCTGAAGTTTCCAATATAAATCAAAAAAATTTGTTCATTACTCTCTAATTTTAAATGATTCTCCTTTGCCCCAAATGCTCTTGTACGACCGAGGGTGGGGCGGGAGTGTTGGTTACGAAATTGAGAGAGCGAAAAGCCAATGTCTGCCTCTTTAACCGGGTTGTCGGATAGGGAGGATCCACCTAGGGGAGTTGGAAAACTCTCGTCCCAAACCACTTGTGCACATGGGCTCCAGGTTTCTAAGGAAACAAATGGCGTATTAACCAATTGTTGGTCACCTGCTACCACGAGACTGCATCTCTTTACGGTGCTCCACTGCTTTGTGGATTAAACCTTTAGGTCAAAGGCTCGACGAGTGACCTCCCTAGAAAACCACCTGTTTCGGTTTGGGCACCCGGGCATTATCCTAGCCCTCACACAAATCTAATGATTTATGTGGCTCATATCTATTTGGTGCCTCCTAGTACCATTGTTTGCGTTTAAATAAATAAATTAGCCAATATCAATCTATAATGAAAATTCTTCTTTTAAAAAAACAATGACCAATTGAATGAAATTGAATGTGTAAAAATGTAAATAAACTTCGAAAAGAATATAGGACTATATATCTGAAGAATAGTTTCAAACCAAAGATGAAACTAGATTGCTATTGTCTATTATTGTTACTCTCTGTTGATTAGTCTAATCATAGCATAAGAATAAAACTGCTATTTTGTTACAGCCAAACTTTTAATTGATCTAGATTAAAAGTGTTTGTCTTTTAAATCCAATATCTTTAATATATACTTTTGTTGTCCATGGTGTAAACACAACACTGTTTTAAAGGTGTGTGTATTATTATAAATTAACATTAGCTTGAACGTGCATTTAAAACTTGAGAGTGCTATTGAATAACCGCTTTTTATCTTATTTTATAAACATCTCAGCAATATTCATCTACAACCCTAGATATGAATGAACCTCAAGATTTTCACGTTTCGTGATATTAATACCATACTTCCTAACTGTTGAATCGAGATTCATTATTCTATATTTCTGAATTCCAAACTATCTGCATTTCAATAAACCTTTCAACTGATATCAGTTTTCACTGAAAATCACCAAACTTTAATCAGTCACTATAAAACAAAATGAATAGATTTATTTGTTTCTACATAAAATATAGTAACAGAACAGTTGGGATAAAATGAAATCATGTTGTAATTTTGGATGGTGTTGTGTCAGGCTATGAAGCTGGGTTACTCGGATCCCATTCCCACAGGGAGCATCAATATCCTCAAGATTGTAGGTATGTCCTGCAGACGATTACGAAACAGCACGAAACTTACATGCAGTTCTTCCTGTTGACTACCTCTAAGCACTTAACATTTCAACACTTTTCACTTTATGGCAAGTCACTTAGACTAGTGATCATGTCGTAATTTGATCGATAGAATTTGATTACTACTAAAAGACTAGACAAACATAACATTTCTACATACCCAGTAATCAGTCAATCGAAATTGAGTTGTTCCCCAAACGGTAGCCAGTATAATCAAATGAATTTCTAACTTGTTTCAATTAATTCTTCAAACTAAATGTCCTCTTTCAAAAAGGTTAAATAAAAATATTTTCAACTTCATGATATCCCAACCAATCTACTCGATTCGTAATTATCGGGGACTCCCTACTTATCTTGTACTGAAAATGCTATGAATCAATTATATGGTATCGCCACATGTCTCATTGTTGAAACTATACTACTTATCACAACTAATGATCATTCTTTCGTTCTAATTAGTCCTCATTAATCAGCAGTATATTGAAAATCATGATTCAGAGTTAGTTACATTCGATAAACAGCTTTTAGCTGGTTATTTTCTGTTTTAATAAATTCTGCAAAGTGTTTAATAATTACACCTCGTTTGTGTATATTTCATTGTAGATTCTGAAGGTAAAATTCTAGGAGTTGCATATTTACGACTCCAGCCGAATACATCTGTGCCAGTTCTTTTGCCTGATGGAGACTATCACCTGTATATACATAAGGTGTGTATAAACAAACATTTTTCCTATTAGGTTTTTTCCTTCCTTTTGATATAAACTTATTCTCATTAATAGAATAGATGTTGACAACTACATGTAACCCGCTAGAAATGTTATCTTTCATGACAAGTTGTGTTTACTATGATGTGATCGGTTTTGATGAATTAACTATTCTCATCACTTATGGAAGTAGACGTATAAAGAAAATAGAAATCCCTTATGATTATTTATATCTGGTAAATATAGAACTTGATCGGTGTTTAAAACTTTATGCGGGCATAAGCAGCACTTGCGTAATTTCTCTCTTGTTTTCTATGCATTGGCTATTATCTTGCCTTCAATTCGTTTGATATTGATCTTGATTGACTATTTTCACTAATTCTACTAATCATTTGTCATGATTTGTTGTTCATAATAAAATTATTGCACATTAGTAGATAGCATGTCTATTTAGCTAAAACTTTATCATGTAATAGACAAATATGATGATAATAATATGCAAATTATTGGGAATAGTGCATTTTTGACAAAAGACTTAATTGCGTTTTTGTCACAGTTATGGTTTGAAAATGATTGGTCGTTTGTCATCCGTCATTATGACTGTGTATTTTCAAATCTCATAACGCTTGGAAATCTGTTTATCTGTTTTTCTCGTTTTGTGGAACAATTAGATTATAGAAGTGGTTCTGAACGACAACCTCCCTAAACTAACATTCTCCCTCTCTCTCTTCCTCTGGATGGAACTTTTGATCATGCTCTACTTCTAGTTAACTCAGTATGTTCGCACGATTTACCCAAATTTACTAAAACACCGACAGACTATGATTTGATTAGTAGTTTTGCATAGTTTATATCACTGGCTAATCTTAATCGAACCACAATTAAAAGGCAAGAATCAATTAATAGCTGTTTCATTCTACTATGGGACTCCTTAGTAGTCAAATGTGAATCAGTTATCCACCAATGACATTAGATGATTGCACAATGTTGCGAATTGATTGCACGTAGACTTATAAACCATTAGATGCTTGTTAATTTAGTGGTGTTAAGGCTAAACGTTCACTATGTGCCCTGAACGTTCTGGATTCTATCCACTGTGAGCTCGTGGATGGGCATTGCTGATGAGTCGCATATTCCGTCTAATTATCGTGAATCATCCAGGTCGAAGTTGCCGTCTTCACTTAATGGTTGCAGTTATATATCGTGATAACTCAATTGAGTTATACTAGTTGGAACGATTGTTTTTTTAGTTTCTGTTATGCCAGTCAGACAGGTTGGGGAGCCATTAGACTATAAGTAGCAACTGGAGGTTTGTGGGTGAAGTTGTACTACCACCTTTACAGACTTGTGATAATAGTAAGATATTCCCCTCAGGAATTTAGTTTCTGGAGTGACTCAAAGCTGACTAAAACTTCCACTTGGTAAGTAACTATCACTTATATATGATGTCCATATAGTCCATTATTCAACATCTGGTTCAGTTCAGTTGAAAATTTCTAAACTTAGTATTCACACTATCCAACATCCAATATTTTGAATCTCAGATAATAATTATGGACTATTTGATACTATCATCATAAATGTGTTAACGTTTAATTGCTAGATTGTTTAAAACTGAATTATTGGCATATTACTTTTTCTATGCAGTCAACTATAAACACTGTAAAATGCAATCATGTTAAGCGTTTTATGATCGACTTTCATGTAGATTAATGGATAAATTAAGTGTACAAGTTGATCGTAATTAAAATAATTACCCAGTGTTTCACTATGTCTGACTACTCATTTTCAGCTAATGTTATCTAATGTTTACAATTTTCGTTAAATGTTTGTTTTATCCATTAGTTTAAGTAGTTTTTATGTTCAATTATTGAGTGAATGCTTCATACCAAGATGTAATTTGTATTCAAGATTTGGTTTCAAGCCATTTAAATTATCCACAAATGTTTGATGTGAACATGTTCAGTGTATCGCAGTTTGATATGTTGGATAAAGAAGAAACACAACTATATTGAAAGTTATGACTTGAAATAAAAATTACACATTAATATACATCACTCATTCACTAAGTGGACGGAAAAATAACCAAAAGTATTCTTTCATTATAATACTAATTTACCTTTTTTTGTAACGCCTTTATTTGTACATTTACAGATGGATATGAATCAAGTGAATTCATGTCGTTATTTATGCCAACCATCTTATTGTGAAGATGATGGACCGATTGCTTATGGTTTAAGTAGTGGTTCGGGTTCTGGTTCCAGTTCTATTGGACTTAATACAATAAATTCAAATTCAAGTGGATTGAATAATATTCTATCGTTGCCTAACTTTTCAACATCATCATCGTCACGTAATCGCATGGATACACTACACATACAAACACTTGTTTGTAGTAGTTATCATACTACTGATGGTCAGTGATTAATTTATTGATGTGATTATCGTAGAAGCGAGAGATTACTGGTTGTAATTAGAATGTACTGTACAGCAAAAGTGACTACTAACAAAAACATATAATTGCAATATCTCAGTTAGAATAAAATTATATTTCCGAGCATTTCGTGACTCTATGTAAGCCGCTTCTTCATAAAATAGATAAACAAACAAATTAAATTGACGAGGGATTTGTGGCGATTGTAGTATTTTCACAGTTGAAATTGCGAAGCGATTTTAGCCAGATCACTATTGAAAACCCAGAATCACTGGACGGCCATTTTGTGAGAAGCCGTGACCAGTGGAGTTCAATCCTTGTAGGGTGTGAGATAGTTATCCACCTCAGGCAATGGATGATAGGTTGATCAAGATTATGAATTGATTGAAGCTGTACATTAAAACCGTTGGGTCCTGGCTTAGTGGTCTAGAGGTTAAGCGTCCCCATTCCAGACCGAAGTTTCTGCGTCTGATTCCCGCGTAGGGGGTCATAAATGGGCATTGCTGAGGAGTCCCATACTGGGATGAAACAGCCGTACAGTGCTCCCAGGTTCTCATTGGTTGTCTAACTTAAGTCGGTTCATGATTTCAACTGTGATAATAAATTAACCCAAGTTTGAATAGTACATAGGAACAAAGCAAAAATATTTAATAAAATAAATCAAAAACAGGGCTGATCAAGTCAATATCATGTCGCTGCTGTCGAGGTGATTTATATGAGACATGCTTGTGTATCTGTGTGTATCTTAATGGATGTGGAAAGTTAGAGTTGAATTTCTTTATGATAATAGTGTGAGATGTGGATTTAATCCAACATGGTAGCTCCGATTGATGCTTCAAGTTGGATGGATAGTGATTCTTTCTCTCACATTGAGGACAATAAGATTTAAAAATAGATGGTAAGCTTTAGTTACTAGCCTTTCGTTGTAGTTGGGTTAGTTTTTTTATTTCGATATTTTTTAACATCGACTTGATGCTAATTGAAGATCTAATTTGGAGTTCTTCAAGTTCCAAAGGATTATTAGGTGGTCTTTTTGTCCAACCTAGGTGTTCTTTGGCTCCAATCAGGATTTCACAAGATGACTCTGCAACAAAGAAAGCATCACAACTGACACACTCTTATCTGTAGACACAGTTCTGTTTTGACGTAAAGCGAATTTTATCCTTTATACGAATTAAATCATTTAGAAGGATATTAGTTGTTTTGTTGTATGCTTTAATTCTGTGTTGCGTTAAGATTCTTTGGAGTTCTTATGTTATACCGTGACGGTATGGTAAAACTACGGTACTAATCCATGATATTTTATTCGAACTATTACTTAATAATGAGTTGCTTTAGCACATTGTGAGTAATATTCATTGGAAAATTATCAGATGTTATTTATATACTTCTGTTTTCTTTACTTATCTTCTTTCAATGTTATGATCTTGGTTGTTGTTTTAAAAAGATTTAGAGCTAGAGGGACTTTGGCATTGAGTGGATGTACTGAATTGAAGTCAACATGATGAATAGTGTTGGTTTATTGTAGATGTTTAGATTTCTTCTAATTAAATAATCAAAAAATGAAAGCTCACTGTGTTCATTTTCACTTTTGTATATGAATATAATGAGGAATCAGAGTGTATTGATCAGCGTAGAAAAAGTTGATAGGAAAGTGTTTTTCATTACGACAAAATTATCGTCCGTATATCTGAGACAAATCCATGGTTTGATATCAATGGCGAAATTATTTGATCCTGCATATGACATAAACAGGTTAGCTACAATCGGGGACACAAGGGGATCCCATCGCCACTTTGTTTGTATAACATAAGGTAAATATGGTAAATAAGGTTGATTTTAAGCATAGTTTTAGGGATTTCGTGTTTAGACTGATGTTTAAAGGACACCTGATAGATAGAGTATAGTCATTCTCCAGTAAATCACTAATAAAGTCTAGGCACCTATCAATAGGTATACTGCGGTGTAAATATGCAACACCATGGCTTACCATAGTTTCATTCTTTTCGATAATTAATTCCGATATTTTTGACTTAAAATGATTATTATTAAGAAACAATGTCTACTTGACCGAAAACCTAGACAGCTTGCAAACAATTTTATCGCATCTATGGTGGTCAAACCTAAGGATTAAACCTAAAATATAACCACAAGAATAATAACTGCATAGACAAAAAGTCGCGATAAATGAAGTAACCTGATTAAGAATGAATTTGAATTATAGTTACTAATGTAATCGATTTCCTCAATAATTGACAAATGCTTAACAATATAAACAATGTTTGAAGTTTTTTATAACGGACTGATTTTGGTTAAACAACTGTTGAAAATCAGGAAGCAATGAACGCGCTTTACGTATTGGAGTTAGGACACTTCATCATTGCATATGCAAGACCCTGTCAGGGATCTCGAACCTAGGAAATCGAGTTTTCACAGAGACCACTTATTTTTCAAACCACTTAGTTAGCATTCGATGGTCTATATTTATAATTTTGTACAAGTTGCCACGTAACGCAACTATTTTCTATTGTTATCGGTGATATTTTTCTCACACTCAACATGGTTGGACTTCACCGATTTTGACTTCTGAATAGAACTTAGAAAGTTACCTCTCGAAGCTAGTCATTAGTAAACATATGATAATATTTGTTGTATGGTGCTATGGGAATTATTAAGTTTCAAGTTTCACACCATAGTATATTCTTCTCTTTTTTGTGTTTATATTTTTCATAAATTAGAAAATTTAACTAAAGTTATACTATGGCGCAATTATCAAGACGATATTATAATGTGTTTACATCAAGGTATTTATTTGTCCCGAAAAGATAATGAATTAAGAAAAGTAGGTCTTTTTAGTTTTAAAAAAAATGATTAAGATTATTTCTTCTTGTCAAGTACATTTTTTTCTTTTCGAACATGTCAACTAAAAACGCATATTTTTCATTGTTGTGTATGTGAACAGAGAGAGAAGAAAAAAAGTAATTACCTAAAGAAAAGATTTACAACAATATGCGATTAAATCTCACTATTTATAGTAAGGAAACGGATTTTGACTTTTATTGATGTGATTTACTTTACATATTTGGTCATAAACAACTTGAAGTCCTAGAAATCGCCCAGGAATAAGATAAAAATTTATAGATGATTTATAGGTTTGACCATTTGGATTGTAGAACAAGATAAATACTGTGAATGTTCGAAATTCATTGAAATGTATTGGAAAATGCTAACGAATTGTTTTGTTCAACTTCTCTGGAGTTTTTCAAGAATATCGATTCAAGCTTTCTTACAGTTTCAACAAGAAACTTAGGGACTAGTTTGTATTTATGACACGGCGTATATATGATCTCGAATACCAGATAATGTAAATCCTTGATATAATGCTTCCTGCTCATTTCCTTTAACTACATAACATGAAAAATATAGTATACAATATGTCAAACCAGTTATTACTTTGGAACTTAATCCCAGAGTTCAATTAGCAGTATCGACTAGACAAAATAACATTGATTAGTTTTCAGTAGTGGATTAATGTATAGACATCTTATTCATAAAGAAAATCAACCCTGTCCTGAATATCTGACTGGAAATAACTATTGGATGTGCCATTTTGTGATGAGGATTGAAATCCCACAGGGAGCATCAATTCCCTCTATATTTCAAATATACCTTACTAACTTGTGCAAATCAACACAAAAAATTATGTCCATAGCTTACTGTCGATTTTATCGAACAATTGATCTAAAGCCATATAGATTGGTGACTACAACTACATTATAACTTGTTTGATAGGATTGGATTAATACACATTTAATGAACAAATTATACAGCAATTTGGATCTAGTGCATTCTGATTTCTCGGTGTATACATTGACAGTAGTTTATTGTTATTTTCTACTGACTAATATGTTTATTGAATTTATTTTGGCTGTGTTATATACGTTGATGTGCATAATACATATCCGATGAAGTGAGTTTTTAGATAAATAAAAAAACGTAGTGAATATGTCAATTAACTGCTTTTATAATTTACGTAAATAATTATTCTTCAACATTATTTTATTATTTACAACCAAGTTGTTTACAGTCAATAAATACAAATTACTTGTCATGTAAATCACTTCATGTCCGAATTAGTTTCGTGAAAAAAGAATTTGTCTTGTAATGGGCAACATTCAAACAGCAATTTTAATTGGACAGATTATTATCATACAATATTCGTAATAACTAATTTTTGTTAATAGAATGGAACGAAATCATTATATCAAATTTCTATTTGTGTAGATTCATTTTCTATTGGTTGTTTGAATCTTCTCATTGATGTTTAGGACTATAATTGGTCTTGATGGAGTTTTGTTCTCTGAGTTGCATGGTTTGCTGCAAACCATCCAACTCAGAGAACAAAACTCCATCAAAATCATCCACCTGAGCTACAAATTTTCTACACCATCTCACTGTAATTGATCAGTCTCTTATTGGCATCTGTGTATCCTGTGCGAATTTCCCCGATATTGCCTCAAATCACAAGCATTGTAATCAGAAATGGATGGTGTTTCGATTTTCGTAGTGAACATCAACTCTAGAATGCAAGTACACCCAGCTAATAAGTCCTAAATAGGACGAAACGCGCGTTCTGGATTCCACTGCTAGCCACTATCCATCTCTGCTTATAATATTTGTGGAGATTGTTTACAATGAGACTAAATCTATCTCATATAATGTTGTACATCAATAGTGCCTAAGATTAAATATTTTAGTTCCACTATAGTTGTCTGACCAACTGAACGAACCTGGAACCGGCCTATTGGAAATTGAGTGCTTTTTCGTGATTCGATCGGATAACTAAATAAAAACAATGACTAATAACTCAAATTCTCAATACCCTTTGCTAAAATCTGAACTGTAAATAGTTTGGAAGATGGATAAACATTGAAGAATATGTTTTCTCTGTTGGTAATCGTGGTTCTACCATAGAAAAAGCGCTGCTTTTCATTGAACACATGTGTGTATGACTTTTTGATGTTGACTACCGGGAAGAGCTCGATTTTAATCATCATCAATGTTTGAGTTGTGCACACATGTTTAGTATCAGCAGATGTTTTCTTGCCGAAGTGTCTTTTCCTATCAAATTCTAGTCCATATTTCAGAGTATAGAATATTGTCCCGCAACTGTTTTGATCACTATGTCAGCGCTCAACTATAACAACACTAGATCAAACAGATAATGATCACAGAGAATAATGTCAGTAGTGATTTGTTTCATTTGGTTTCTAATAGTTACCAAGTCCCCAACTAAATAAATTTGAATGTATAAAGCAGATTGCCACTAATCTACTCACCAGATACAAACTCACTTATGTACAAAATAGGAAACGTGATGTTTGCATAATCAGGTATGCTCGGAATTTCGCTACTTGGTCGAATATTTTATTACACTTCTGACCAGATCACAAGGCTATTATTGAAGTGCTTTATTTTGAAGTCGACAAAACGTATATTTTAGGAGATTCTACTCATCAAATCACTGAGTCAATTTTTCCCGAAAAATTGTTTGATCACTTGTGGTGTGTCTCCTGGAACTTCGTTGTCACTTGAGAAGAAAGCATGTTTAAAATAAAATTTCATTTATTTGTTGTCGAATTAGTTGCTTACTTGTCCTCGCCTGTGATAGCTTGACTTTATTTGCTTAATAGGTTATTGTTACATCGTTTCGGTGTGTAAATTTGGTTATTGTCATTTTTGTTTTTCTCTCTTTTCCATTTATTGTAGTTCACTCGTTCATTAATTGACAATATGTTGCAACTTCTTATGACTACCATGGATGAAACACATCAACATATTATCAATTTAAACTTAGGTTACAGTCTTCTAATGGGACTGGCTCGTTGTTATAAGGATTTATCGATTGATTCAGTTCGACAAAAAATAATATACAGTTATTTAAATGGGCCTGGATTTATATATTATAAAATATATATACCTTATTTACAATTATTAAATGCTATGGTATGTGAAATTGTCTATCCAACATTGTATCAAAATCATCATCCTTCACCTAATTCTACTCTTCCTCATTCATCGTCATCAGCATACGCATCTAGTGGTGTTGGTAGTGCTTCTAATCGATACAAAGTGGAACATCAGTTTAATAGTAGTGTTAATAATCGAAATATTGGCATGACACCTACAACTGGACACTTTTTTGATTCAAAAGCTGTACAACTTATCTTTTCAACAATACATTGGGCCTTTTTAATTATTGTTCGTTCAAGGGTAAATAATTGTTTATTTCACCTCAATATTGTACAGATTTGATAGAAAATTGATATTTTGGCATTCTTTAAGGTGTATTTTTTTGTATGTTCTTTAACCACTTTATTATATCAAACTAGGAAATATTCTTGGTGTAATTCTTCTCTAAATAATTCTCTTTAGGAAACTGATACCTTTTAAAAGTGAATGTTGACTAGGCAGTATTTTCATTGTTGTACCTTAATAGGACTACGTAGCAGTACTTACTAATGATCTCATATAAAATCAAACCATAGAGTTGTGTGTTTCGCAAAAATCATAATGCCTTTAGGCCACTAAACCACATTTGTTTATCGGCTCAACTTAGTTTATTTTAAAGCGCGTCTCTCATTGTTAGTTACTGTACAACTCCCGAATTTGGTTGACTATGCATGTCCATTAGTTAACCAGTTATTATTACTCTTTGATTATTAAAGACAACACTGTCATAAAATCAGTCTACTAAATATATAGATTTTAAATTTCCTTTAAAACTAATTACTTATATACGTTGTTCCGATAACGTTGGGTGTTCGACCTTAGATTCTCATAAAATGTAATGTCTTGACAAATACGTATGACCAGACGTTCCGAAATGTTTGGCATAAATACATCACATTATTCAGATCGGCTTTGTCTACTCTTTGTTCCATTAAAATGTATGAAAACAGTGATTAATTGCTGTACATTCATTTGTTTGAGGGAAATTATCTCTGCCATTGTTGTAATATAATTAGTCCGTTATTAATTGTCATAACAACAAATGATGTGTGAACTAATCAATTATCATCAATGAGTATAATGTTTATTTTAGAAATATTACACTGTGTTGTAAATTTATATAGGATTTTTGTAGGTTTTCTATATAAAAAAACTGCCATTGCAAAACTTTTTTTCCCTATACAGCAAACAAACTAGGTTTTTGACGCAAAAATATCAAGTTATGTATCCTGATGGAGCAAAGTGAGTTTCGTAACTTCGCCATTTCGAACATTCATTCAGTTGGGGATATTTGATTGCACTAAATAGGTTTTAACAAAAGTCGTACAATTTTCTAAGAAGCTTTCTTTTACAAGGTATTTAAAATGTAAAGAATTGAGAACAACATTTACAATTAATCAATCACCGAGTGATCAGTGTGATCTATACCAGTCTATTCGTTCCGATTGCTAATTGAATTTTATCTATAAAGTTGCAATTTACACACTAGTCTAAGTAACTCGACATCATCACGTAACAGCTCAACATAGCGCACACAATGTATAGTCTCTTAGACTAATGAGCACATTACAACTTGGTCGATAAAATTCAATCAGTACTAAAAAGGAATTGACATACACGACATTGGTCCCTGTTCAGTAATCAGTCAATTGTAAATGGATCTCATTCCTGACGCAGATCAATTGAGGCACGAGTGGCCTCAGTGGTGACATTTCTGACTGTGAAGGTGAGTGATACAGGATCAAGTCCGCCAGGGAGCATTGATTCTTCCAAGATTTCAGGTACGTACACTCTAGTGATGAGTATTGGATATCATAATACCTTGATCCAGCGTTTATTGTTTAATTCCTCCAATCACATAACAACTATTCGTACTGATCCCTAACTAATTTACAACCTATTTTATTCTGACGACATCTCTCTTTAGCGCCCAATATGTATAGTCAGTGCATGAATTGTATTGTAATCACGTCTCTTTTGAATTTTCCAGTCGTTAGATTCACGATATGTTATAAATGCCTTACGAAAATGCGTGATTACATGTGGTCATTATAAAGAATTAGTCAAATTAAGATGTATTGGAAAGGAAGATTCATATTGATAAATACACGTTTTGAAATTCCACTGGCCCAGTATTATAAGCATACTACCTAGTAAGGATAATTAAAATTTACATTTAGACTGAGTTATTCTGTATCATGAAGTAATCGTAGGTTTCTCCTGAAACACTTATTGGACGCTTGTTTGCTAAGGACAGATGATTCTGTTTCGTATACGAATAATTCGCTATATACAGTATAACTGGCGAGCGAATAATCTGCCACACATCAACTGAACTTAGATCAGTTACATGTTGTCAGCCTGATTATCATGTAAATTAGGTAATATAACATATAAAGAAGGTAAGAAAATATAAACGGCAATCAGACATCTGTCAGGTTGTCTATCAGTTTTTCTAAAAACAACAACTGATCACTAGCGGTTTTCACTTACACAAGATGCCGTATAAACTATACTTAATTTTCTTGATCTAGCACTCTAATGAGACCAGGTGCCGAATAGCTTGTGTTTATTGCCGCTCGGTTCTGACAATGACACTGACTCAGTTGTTAATCTACCAACTAGTTTCAATTCATTATCATTACCACAAATTATATTTCACATTAAGTAATAACAATTGGTGACTAGAAAGCTTTCAAATATAGTTTTTTTTAACTTTTCTATTCACCAACACATGGAGATAAAATTCCAGAGATGTTACTGTTTTTTCTCTTTCTTCTACTTCTCTTAGCATTTAGATGTTATGCAGTTGAATGATAAGGATAAAAAAGAAGCTGAATCATTATTTACACGCCAGGTCGAATCTTTCCTGTCTGGAGTAATTGATGTGACTTGTCGTACTGATGATGTTCTACTACGCGTGAGTAAATTTCTATCGAAAATAAACTTAAACCAAATATTTCCACGCGTTCATAGTTAATTCTGAATGAGTTTTATACTTTCCAATTATTTTAACTTTACAGTATGTTAAAAAATCATAAATTTGATAGTTCAATTGTGTAGAATGAAACAGCTGCGTACACTGCACGGATGCAATATGATCCTGTCTTACATCCCATATTATAAAATAAGCATATATTCCGTTTACTACTTATAAGTAGTTCGTTTGTTTTTCTGCATTAAGATAACTGGTGCACGTCACTGTAAGCTTAGAACTTTTTCCATCCGAGCATGACTCGAGGTTTGTGTAACATGGATAGTTGTGTTAAGACGGCATAGGTATTGTCTGAGTTTCAAATGACTTGTCAATTGTTTGATTTTTGATTTTGTGACGTTCTTCAGTTTAGTTATTACAAATCGGAGTTGGTTGAAAGTTGTCGGGACACTGATTTCATACTAACTGGATCTCTTTATCCAGACGCATGTGCATTCTTAAGGTAGATGACACCTGCTATCGGATTTAAACCTGGGTCACCTAGGGCCGTATTCTGAAACGTTACTAGTTAGCTGTTCCGGATACAACATATCTGTCAGACTGAGTTATTTACACTGATTAGTGACTGATATCATTCTTGTTTAGCCGTCACTGCTAAAAAATCTTTTTTTACCGATCAAGTCGTTTTACTTAAACTAGTTGTCACATTGGAACTTAGTCGATAGACCACGATCAGGATAAAAAGAAAATGACAAACATGAGATCAGCTACTACTCAGTAGGTAATATACATAAATACTTATCCTTTTTCTCATTGGCTATCTCGTTTTTTCCCAATTCCATTAACTTTGGTTCGCGAAACTGAGTATTCTTAGCCTGTACACAGAAGAATACGACTTAAAGCAGAGCATATAAAGAGGTGTACTCAAAGAAAGAAGTACATGAGAATACTACAAATACTCTGGTTATTACAATTTAGACGCTTGTTCTTTAATCAGTTTTAGTGTGCACTTCCACAATTCTATACATTTTAAATAGTTGTACATCACAATCATAGGTTTTTTCTTCACCATACTTGTTATGTCCTATGGCCAGTTAAATATCATGTGACAAAATTGCCAATGAGGATACCGACTTCTATGACCTTGTTCCTGTGCTAAACCATTGATGCATCAAAACAGCGCTAGCAACCTTGAGTTTACTCTAAGTCCCTATTGGTCCTCTGTATAGTAGTTTCACGTCTATCTTAGCCCGTTCAGTTCAGAACACATATATCAGCCTTCACTATATAACTCGTGTATTTCAGATATATATTATCCATTATATATACGTTACTGCAGAGTATTTATGAGTTATAAACTGCAGATCAAGTATACGGCTATTCTTCTCCAATGATTATTACTCTAAGCACTTAATGGATTAATGAACTATATATAAGGATTAAGTATGTTACACTAATTGGTTACTGAGTAATGTAACAAATGTCTTTGATGCTAATCAAATCCTTTTAAAGTTTCAGTACGGCTACTAGTTTGAGTAATTCAACATAACATGAGATATGTTTTGATGTTACATTGCTTTCGAAATAGTTGGCAAGAAACTGTAAAGATATGCTTCATGGTAGTTGACGATTGTCCTAAAGACGTACCTACAAAATTGAGGGAACTGATACTCCTTGTGGAAATTGAACCTTCCACTACTTAACTTTACAGTTTGAGATATCACCACTGACCTGCCGAAATAGTTGAATTCTATCAATATTAATAGGACACCTTGGTGATGCACGAAGTCTACGGTTTCCTCCTGACTCCTTTCAATCACCTAATTGAAGTACGTTAAATTTTTAAGCCGTTAGTTATCAAATGGTGACGTAATCATTGACAATTTACTGCCTTAAACTATTTATCTACATATGATTTACTTAATTCCTCATTTATTCCTCATTCTCTATATTTGTTATCTTTTTTTTAAAAAAAAAACACAGCTTATTATATTTAAACATGTGCCAGAAATTATTAAAAATTTAACAAAAGTTTATCCAAAATTAAAATTATCTCAATTCATCGTACAATTATTAACACGTACATTAGAAAGTTGTGAGTTACCAAGCCAAAAAATTCTAACTGAAACTATTCATTCAACCTTATTTACTGATCCACAATGTCGTGGTCTATTAGTACCAATAATTCAAACCAGTTTAACGCATGTTTTTACATCGAAATTGGATAAGGTAATTCTTTGTTTACCTAGAAAAATAAAATACTTTTATCCATTGCCTGTACGTGTGTGTGTGTGTGAACGTGTGGTCATTAGTACATTTTAATTGTTGCTTTAATTAATGTTGTTATTTTCTATTGCATAAAATGACTTACACAACTGATATGTAATTATTTCAAACAGTGACGACACATAGAAATTCAGATTGAGGTTATCCATCATGTGTTCAATGGTCAACAAGAGTGATATATTCGACTCTGTTACCCATTTTCCCATTCATATATTGTACGACTATTGCATATTGAAGTGTGATATACATTAGAGATCTTATTTCAAATCAGCACATTTGTGTTTTTTATTCGACTTGTTCAACCTGAGCTAGAAATTTATCCATTCTGTAGACAGCATTCATTGTGGCCCCACATTTTCTGGTGAAACACTAATAATTTAAACACACTACACAGTTGTTTTGTTTTGGTTTATGTAACTTATCAGGAATGCACACTTTGTTTCAAGCAAATGAATTTTTCAAAAATTTTTAACTGTTCTGTGTAATGATTGTTTCATCGTTAACACATGTTTGAACAAGACCAGGTCATAGCTGCTCATTATAGCTTTCGGGAATTCATCTTGTGGCTAGTCAAATATTTAGCATACGAAATGATGATCCATCTTGTTAGCGCGACATAGATTAGATTAAAGCATGTTCCGTGCAAGATTGTGTTGGTGCACGCTGATTGGTTATTTCTTATCCAATCAGCGCCAGTCGATACTTGGAGAAGACTGGAATCTTCTCATGTAAAAACTATAAATATACTAGTGTTTTTCTTATCAAGCTTACTCCCATCTACCGTTGTTATCTGGAATATAATTTCTTATCAGAAGGGGTTTGTGGAGATTTTAGAAATTTTCACAGATTGAACTCATGAGTCAGTTGAAGCTAGACCATCATTGAAAACCTGGAAGCACTGGACGGCCGTTTCGTCCTAGTATGGGACTCCTCAGCAGTGAGCATCCACGGTCCCGCACCCCGCGGGATTCGAATCCAGGACCTACTGGCTTCGCGCGCACTACTGAGGAGTCCCATACTAGGACGAAACTGCCGTCCAGTGCTTCCAGGTTTTCAATGATGGTCTAGCTTCAACTGACTCATGATTTAAATATAATTTCTTTCCTGTTCAACCGTGTTATGATTTGGGACTTGTCGAGTGAACTGGTGTCCAAGATTACTAAGAAATAGGAATAGTTGGGTTGTAATAAGAGAAATTACAACACATATTGGATACGGGCAAAATTTCCTCGATAGATAATAAAGTTTGTTTGCTACTTCTGTGATATATGGTACGTGAATATTTATTACAAGACAAATACGCTACGATATAGTGTTTCGTTCGCATATTTTTTTAGACGTGCAAATAATATAAAATAGTCTTCCGAACATTTGCACATATGATAGAACCGTTGAGTGAGGAATTTTAGAAAGTGAATGGATCAGTCAGTTATGTGATAGACCTGTTCCATCCACCTGAGATGACTATAAGACATTCCGCGTATTATTTACTCATCATTATTTCGGCTGCAAGCTATTATTTGATATGAAAAGTTAAACTCCAAAACTTTATTGGATCTAAAACTTGACACTATTTCAGTATACGTAAATAAGTCTTTGTCATCTTAGAAATTCCAGCTTAATTTAGTGCTTTATCAAACATTCAAATTTGTTTAAAACTATCTGTAAATTGTTTTTATACATGTTTGTATGTATGTATGCACACTCTCATTTATTATTATTCTCAATGTATACTACTAGGTTCTCAGTTGTAAAATTAACGAGAATACAGCTATAATGGATGTTTGGTGTGATGTATTGCTGTCATTTATGGACAGTTTTACAAAAGCCACTGCATCAACTACAACAACATCGAGTTCCTCATCATCAACCACTCAGTGCATTGGTGATAATTCTGTTGATAATAATCATGAAGCTAATCAGACCGATGATAATATTGATAATACTGAAGATGAATCTAAAGCCATTGCCTCTGTAACAACACCAACAAGGAAATTATCGTTTACATTTGACAATTCTAATCAGAATTGTTCATATTATGACAATCAATCGGATGAAGTGTTTCATTTGTTAATAAAATGTAATTTTCTTCGTTGGACTATGCAACAGTTGTCACGTATTCTACTATTTATACATCAACGTAATTCTACTTTATGTTGTGGTGATGATAGTAGGTCAGATTCTCTTTCAACTACCGGTAGTAGTAGTAACGGTGGGCACGGTGGCAACGGATTCGGTGGTGTTTCTGGTGTTGTCAGTGGCAATAACAAAACATTATCATCATCTAGTAAGGTTTCACCTAAAAAACGCCTTATACATCCTTCCTATCACCGGTTACAACCAATTATGGTAATTTGTCTAAATGTGCATTTATCATTCATTTTAAATACTATTTATCTAATGTAATGTAATTATATTCAATGTTATATTGTGTTATATGTGTTGTTCGCGTCAGGGATCACCTGTAGATTTTACGATAATTTTTGCTGTCTCTTATCTATAAACGTGAAGGTCTCATCAAATCGATCTGGTTGTCGTTTATGTCGTTCAGTAGACTGTAGGGATGAATTTAATGTGTAGAAAGTGTTCATTGTAGATTAAAGATATCAATTAGTATAGGAAAACATTGGAAACTAAGAAGAAGTGGGCATTTGTTTCTGTTTGAAGAACAGAATCCTGATAATCGGATATTGAATACATGGCCAAATTAAAATGTGCTTCTTCGTCCATTTTCAAGCAATCCTCCAGGTTGGATTCTAGAAACGTTTATCCTTTTACTACTGGACGTTTTATTGTTCCAGTTATTCGGAATGTATCTTGTTTTCCTCCTTAATCATTGCTTTGATTTGTGGCAGATCGAGTGAACAGAATAAAATATGACTGTAGACTTAGCAATTTTCTTGTGGTTTTGGTATTCGTATAGTAATCCTCACCTATTATCTGTCCGAACAGGAAATGTTCAATCCGTGATGAAAACTGTCTTCACAATATATCCCTTTTTTATTTATTAGTGGAATCCTTGCACCATATAGCATACTGATATAACATTGGGTCTGCTATGTTCAAACCAATAATACCAATACTCCTACTAAATTACCTGACGTGTTAACGCTTTTTGGGACATGTATTATCCCTACCTCTAAGCTGCAGTCCTGACACGACAACATGATAGGTGGTGTAATTTGTCTTTATTGACTGAATAATTCACATGATCATATGTTTGAATTATAGGACCACAAAGCACCATTAAGAAATTACACTATGTGCTTAAGTAGGACAATATAGTGCAGAGTCTGAATAACATGTTCTTTATGAACTTACAATAATCTGAAGGCAGAAATAGGATACAACAACAGTCATTTAATTAAATAGAAGCTTAAAAATCGCATAAACGAAGTGTTTATTAAATACAGGTGAAAAGTATGACATATTGTTAGGCGAAAACATGACTTGCGTAGTTTGTCATCTTCACTTATTTGTTTCGTCCTAACACACACAGTGAATACCAAATTTGTTCAATTACTAATTACATTATAGCAACTCACGTGTAATTGAGTTTGCTCACATTTAATTCGATTAAGTCATTTTGTTAACTTATTAACGAACTGAGTCATTCGTACAACAACAACAACTTATCTATATCATTGTATCTTTATTATTGTTGCGAATGTATGAACATGTGTGCTTGAGCATTGCTTACTGCCTACTCATTTTTTCACGCTGCATGTCTTACTACTAACCGCTTAATTGATTCGATGATTCATTCACTTCACTATGTATGTATGTGTCCATGTTATTCATGTTCATTGCTCTCTCTCGCTTATCTGTACTCGCTTACTCGTACTCATATTCGCTGACTCACTCGCTTGCCTGCTTGCATTTCGGCACAACTCTTTCATGCTTGTTTAACGCACCTGTAATTTTGGATATCTGTGTGTGTGATCCCATAGTAAACGTAATCAACACTTCGTATTCGTCTTCTGATTAATATACCGTTGGGGCGTTATCTAGTGACGGTTATCAAGACGAACTGTATACGAAGTTTAAGGATTATACTGAATACCGACCACCACAACATGCTGATCTAGTATTACATAACGTTGAGATTCATTTCACGTCATAAATAATGACTGGCACTACTAAGCAATGGATTCTCTTCCGCTATTTACTTATTTCGCTGCGAGTTATCAAATTGTGAAAAAAAGTTTGAATCGAAACCGAGTCTACGGATTTGTCCTTAGCTACTTGTTAGGACTACTCACCTGTTAAGAGTGTAACTGAATCGGAATAAAATGTTACTGTCAGTACCACTACCACTACCATTTATTCTGGTACTATAATAATCAAACTAAATGATATTGTATGCTTTGCTGGTTGGAACGATGATTCAATGATTATGGAGTTCAACTTCCATCTACTACATCACATATTCGAACCCTACTCTATCTAATTTAGTTTGGGCTACTTAATAATATCACTATTCCTCAAAGTTGTAGTATGGCTCCATGTGCAGATCTGTACCTGAAGAATTATGTATTAATGCAATTCTTTTATCTGTAAATAATACGTTTTTTCTTTTGATAATGATTTTTTTTCTTAAGGGATGTCTATCCACTGTACTATTCTCTTCATTACAAATGCTTACAAAATGTAGTTGGATAAAATTTTTTCAATCTGTTTATTATACCAGTGAAGAATGTTGCCAATGTAATTACTGTCATAATTTACAATTAGTAAATATCTATGATTTTCTACATGAATTATTCACTCTATTCTCATTGATGCACTTATATCCTGGTTATCCAGCGCCAATGTTTCAGTCAAGATCTGATAAATTATGGACAGTTGGTCGTTATTCATGGGATGATGATTATCATGATGAAAGACAATCAGAGCACTCTGACAAAAAGAAAATATCACATAGGAATTCATCACTGACTCATAATCATAATGATAATAATAGTAATAATAATGTAGAACTATTCTCTCAATCATGGATTGAAATGTTAACATTGATATCAAGTGCTGAGTTAGATGTTATTGAAGTACTGATTGAACTTGTTATGGAACCATATTTTATTAATCCTAACTTAGATAATAAAGTGAGTTTTTTCTGTGATATTTCATGAACTGGTTCGAATTGTCTTCGACGTTTGTTGTTTTTACCGGACTGAGTGGGAACTCCACTGACTGTTTTACATCATCGGTAGTATGACTCATTCTGTGTAATCCGTCTCTGTAAACCAATGATAATAAGATAACTTGTTTTTTAATCAAAGAGGGGTTACATAATAAATCTTGGTAAAACTGTCATGTAGGCTATATTACATAAATGTTCACAGATTGAAATCATGAGTCAGTTGAAGCTAGACCATCATTGAAAACCTGAAAGCACTGGACGGCCGTTTCGTCCTAGTATGGGTCTTCTCAGCAGTGCGCATCCACGGTCCCGCACCCCGCGGGACTCGAGCCCAGGACCTACTGGTTTCGTGCGCGAGCACTTAACCATTAGACCACTGAGCCGGCATCCAGCGGTGTTAATGTCCACCTGCTGAGGAGTCCCATACTAGGACGAAACGCCCGTCCAGTGCTTCCAGGTTTTCAATGGTGGTCTGGCTTCAACTGACTCACGATTTCAATCTGTGAAAATTTCTAAAATCTCCACAAACCCCTTCTGATATATTACATAAGACATTTATTGATGTAATTATAACTACACCGATAAAATGATTCAGTGTTAACACTGTCAATTTATTAGTGAATTGTGTGCAACTATGCACAGTTTTCCACTAATACATAATAATCACGAATTGTATTTCACTTTTCGAAATGTGAATAATGTTGGCTGTGAATATGTGTCTGTTGATTGAATTCGGAATTTCAACTCGTTGATCAAGTTCATATATGAAAGCGCTTATTCACTAAAATCAATGAATCCTATAAGCAAATATTGTGTGTACAGAAGTTTTTTTCAGATTATTTGACTCCTTTCTCTAACAACTTTCCCAATATTACTTGCTTAAAATGTTCATTGAGGCTTTTGTCATTTTGAAGACATAATTATTTCTATGTTAAGACCATGTTTAGCTGTAGCAATTTTTAAAAAGAAATGGAACACTCAGCAATTTAAACCGTACCTCATACGTTTTGAAATCTTTAAAACGTCGGGAAAATGTCATTTTCCAGTGTATTTACAATCTTCATTAACATTTCGAGCAGCTCATCTGTTTGATTATTGTGTCATCAAAGTTCCTAATGTCTTTCTTCTGGAACCTATGGTGTTACTTTCTGCCAAACACTGATAACAAGAATTCTACCAACTCTGTCATTGTGTTCTTGCTTCAGACAATCGATAGATTATGCAAGTACTTATGTATTTAGTGGCCTGTGGATCTGACTCCATTTATATCGTATAAATACTTGCTATCGCCTATTCTCGTATATCATCGTCGACTATGAATCGCGTTAATCAATAACGGAATTAAATAAGTCGAATAACGAGAATTGACTTGTGAATACACATATTTTGTACATGAAGCGAATGAAACAGAGCAAACCAAAATGACACGCAGGGAAGATGGCTGGGAAACCAACTCCATTTTAGTCAAGCGTTACTCAATATTTATAGTCAGACAAAATAAACTACAGACATGTGATGAGTCATGGGATTTGATGTGTACACACATATACGCTCATATCAAAACAGTCAAGACTGATAAGCGAATAATTGACAAGGTCAAAATATGACTCAAGTCGAATGGATAGGATGGAATGTCCGAATGCTAGAATGAGATACATGGGCTTAAAATAATGACTGACACTACATGTACACAACCCTCTAATCAAAACAGTGAAATTCTAGATGAGTGGTCACAAATGCCTTTATTGTTCAAACTTATGATCCACATGATAGTGTGAATAAAATACAAGACAAATGTTTATTCTGAGTAGTAGTACAAACATGTCCTTAGTTGTCCAATCCTGCTACAACGTTAAGAGTTCATCACAAAAAGACAATTCTAATTGCGAGTTATTTTGATCAGTAATTAGTGTGCGCTTTCGAAAACATCTTTTTCAGGTTATGTACAATAATGTTTGTTTTAAGGTTGATATGACTAAACAGCTGGTAAGTGTTTTTTAGCGAGTTAGTTTTCTACGGGATGGGGACGCTAACCCCATGCCCAACCCTCCTCCTTTACCCCGGGCTTGGACCGGCAGTAACTCTGGAAGAGCTACAGGCGGAGTTATGACTAAACAGATTAATACAATAATAGTCACGAATCTTTACTGCCAAAATATTTGATGGCTATCTCGAAAATCTGATATTTTACTGACCTATTGAATATTAAAATACGACTTGTGACTACGACAATTAATGTCTGGCAAATATACCGCTCTGTGTAACTTCTTGAACAATCTAAGCTGCATTATAAAAGTGCCCAAGCAATGTTTTGCTCATTGGTCCTAAAACAGAAATAAACTATCCAATCCAGATTATTAGAAAAAAATGTCAGGATGAATCAAGAAACCATAGCCTAAAATATTGATTTATAATGCGTTTACATCTGATCATAGATAATTAATGTATGCATACAATCAGAATGTTAACCGAATTCCTCTATCTGTGTTTTACAATAAGTGTTATTTTTATTCTTTTAAATTATCCAAACAGTTTCTATTGATTTCTGCCCAATCATCGTCATCATTAATAACAGCAAATACACCAGCAGTGTGTCACACAGAACCTTGTTTAACTAGCGATTTAATTGAATTAATTGCACAATGTTTAACTGGATTCGCAGTGGAACAAGCTCATTTATGTGTAGAAGTTGTGCCGCCCGTGACTAGAATTCGTATTGATCAAAGTTTAACTAATCAGTCAATTGATATGAGACAAAGAGCTTGTGATTTACTATTATCGTTATGGCATTCTATCGGTAAATGAGATAAACTTCATAATATATTGGTTTTATACAAAGTTTAAAGTGTAATGTAATTTTGTTTATTATTGTTGTGTATATTTTTGTCAAGTTTCGGTTATTCTCTTCAAAATGAAATCATCATACTCAAAAAGTGAGATCAACTATCTGCATCATGTTTAAATATTGCTTCCATAGATTCTTGAATGTCATTAATTCATTATTATCAACGTGATTTACTTATTGTCAATGCATTAGTAACCGGTTGATTGGTGATCTCACCAGTTAGTCGTCTGTAACCACCGGTGTTTTGACTAATTATGTCTATACAGTCATACTTAATCAATATAAGGTCTGGCACAAGTGTAAATTGACCCAAGTTGCCATTGAATAATAAAGAGTTCGGTGGTTGAAGGTAGTCATTGGAATATTTTAACTCAACAGGCTTCTGATAGAAGTGTAGTATTTAAATTTGCCCATATATAACTAATAGCTTTTCCTGATGATCTTGATCTTCTTTGATTATCGTTAAACTTTAACTTGTCGTTGTCTTCATATTTATTTTGTTTGTCTCTCTTTGATTTGATTCTTGATTCTATAGTTATTCATGGTTTTTCTGACTGATTGATATATTCCATATGTCTATCGATTGTTGATTGACCTGAGTCCCAAACTTCTAAAGATCCCCTGGTGTCTGAGTTTTGATTTAATGTTGATTTTCAAGATAGGTTGATGAACGTGGGGCAATAATATTTGACTGCAGCATAAAAAGGTTTGCTCAGAGTTTTTGGCACCTGTGTGTCTGGGACCACAGTATTGAGTTGTGCTGTTTAGGCTGTAACGAGCTTGGCTGGTGTTTATTGCTCCTGAAAACATTGTAAAATTATATTTTTACAGAATAGATTTGTGGTTATGAATCAACCAGTTGTTCCTTTCATTAATCCTATGCTTGTATGAGAGATTAAGTTATAGATACCTTAAAATGACGAAACCGTGAACGACTTACGAAATAGCTCATGGTTCCTTCGAACTAAAAGACTCAATATGTAAATGTAGTACATGGCTTAGTCCCATGACCCACACGAAGATGAGTGCATTTATTAGGAGGGAACCAATCGTCTTCAGCTGCGTGTTACATTCTATTGTGACTTTGCACAGCTTTATGAGTCATAGTCGACCTTATTTTGGCGAAAAAGTTTTAAAAAGTGGTGACAGTGCACTGGAAAATCGTTCTACCGTAGTTCAGGATTTCTATGACGTGTGCTTACTCACTACCCTCAACCGTCCAGTTCCACGGTGTTACCTTAAAACCAGTGAATTGAAACTTAATAATTTGTCACTTCGATATAGTGGAAATAGTAATGGGATCATAGTGTAGTGAGGGACACTAGTGATATTATCATGTGTAAAAATTAGTATATAAATAATTGTATTCTGGCCTAATGCGGACGTGATTTTGGGACTTGTTTGGAGAAGGTTTTTGAGAATCAATAAATCTTCACTTCACTGGTTTTTCGTGTTCTTACTTTGTTATGGGAGTTGCGGTTGCTCTTTATTGCCTAGTAAAATCAATAAGACCGCAGAGAAAACATATTCCATACATAAATAAGGGCGATGATACGCGGAAACAATAATGCATATTAGAAAATACGTTTATAGAATAAGATGATATTACTGATGTCTACCATTATCATCATCGTTATTGGTTTCGATTTACGTTCTTTTGTATCTATTTTTCGTTCAATGTAGATGATCGATCAAAAGTGAATTATATTCACATATTTCTACCGAATGTCATCAATATGGCTACACTCCCACTTCCACGTAAGTTCTCCTCTTTTCTTTTTGTATTCTGTATAATCAAATTATATAGAATCATATGTTCTATAAGGGGAAGTAATCAATCGTAACCTCCCTCTACACATGTTCACACATACAGTGTTTATTCAAATCTTACTTTATAAAGTATAATACTTGCGGTGAATATGAAATAAGAAAGAAAGATTAGTTTAATGTCGTAATGGGTGTATTCCGTTTATTAAAGAATATGAAATAGTTTAAGTCTGGGATCTTGTTAGATAATAATTGTCATGTACTAGTGAAGATTTCTTTCACTTCCTCTTTGTAGTTATTTGTTTTTCCTTAGTCTTTGAAATAAATCGTCTTATCATTATTTCCGTTAGCTTGTACTGCTACATCTGTTATTTGAAATACAACTCATTCGTATTGAAATATTAGCTTGATGTTAGTTGATCACAAATTATTTCACTCTTGACAAACCTCTAGACTAAACCACAATCGTATACATTCACTGCTGACTCATGCTAGTGGTTTCGAAATAACTTCTTTGAATGTTCTAGTGTAAGTTTTAATTGATGGGATTAATTACTCAATGGTTATCATGGGTTAAGTAAATTTTGGCACACCATTTGAGTTGATATTTTCGAAAAGTAATCAGTGATGTTGAATTGTTTATTATCGTTTCAACTGAACTATTTGATGAAGTGTGATGTAATAATAAAACTTATAATCTAATGAAGGCTAAGTAACAAATATATATCTGATCCACTGCAATCAGTTTCATGACATGTGATCTATGCTGTCCCTATAGGGTTCTAACTTAACGACTGAGTTGCATGCGCAATCTTTAGGACAAAAATGTGGTTTTTTTAAAACTACGGTACTGCTTTGGAAAACAGCGTAAACACTAATTGTTTACGATCTTCGAATCACGAGATAATAGTTGAACACTTTGAACATATGTCTGTATAATCACTTACTTACGCATGTTACCTCTCGTGGAGCATGGGCCGCCAACTAGGAATCTCCAACCTACTTTGTCCTGGGCTCTTCTTGTCAATTGTTACTAAGTGCTATTCATTCTTTTGATATATACCTTGAATTCCTGTCCCATGTGTTCTTGGCCTTCCTCTTTTTATTCCCAAGTTCTTGCCTTGCTAGTTTCCACAAATTTTTACCTATCCACCTTCAGCTGGAAGTTAGTTTGCTCTTTGTCAGAGTAGGTGGTTGCTAATGATGTTCGGTTAACGGATCTGGAGTATCTTGCGTAAACAACTATATAAATGCCTGTACTTTTTATGATGATGGTAATAGTTCTCTAAGTTTCAAGTTACTAATTAATAATGAAATCCAAAAAATGTGGTATTAATAATAAGATAACTTACTGTTAGTTCAAATGAGAATATCTATTATTAAGTGAAGTAAATTGTCTCTCTTGGTGGTGTGATTCGACAACTAATTGCTGAGGTTTCATGCAATTGCTTCCCTTTATGAATTTGAACAAATCAAGACAAATATAACAAATTATGTGATAGTTTTAGAGATTATGAAGGGTTTACGTAATCTCATTGGAACAGTATTTGAAGAGTTTAGATAAGTTAAAAGAATTAAATAAATGAAAATGTATGGGTGAAGGGATGGTTTCGGTTTACATAAAGTAGTCAAAGGAAGACCACTAAACAAAATAAACACATAAAATAATGATAATGATGAAAATAGTTTACCAAGGTAGTAATAGGTTTATCACTATCTCTTTCTGGAGACATAACTCAGCTCTGAGCTTTTTTTATTATTGTTGCTTCTGCAAACCAAAGAGGCACTGCGTTTTTTTGTTTTTGTTTGCTAATAATTTTAAAGGCTTGTGGAATGTTAATGGTGTCCCTGGTGTCAAGTAAATACCGATCTATTTCATTACTGGTGTCATACTTTGTGCTCAGCCTTTTTTAATCAGTCCATATGCCTCCCATCTCGGTATCGGATGCCTGAAGATTCAGCCTCTTCAAAATCATCACTAAATAGTTTAAAATTGCTACCCAGTAACCTGCATTTGTATTGAACATTATGGAGTTACACGGTCAATGTTTTGAAAACCCCTATACTAAGGATCATACTGTTGGTTCTTACTAATAAATCGTACGTTCGTACAATTTTGATTACAGTGCAATCATCTGACGAAGTAGACATAGTTATATCATTCTACTGTGTTAATAATTTATAGAACTTTATTTCATCATAACGATCTACTCATATTGCATTTATTTTACGTTGTAATATTGTGGGTTTTTATAGGAATACGCGAAAATTGTGTTGATTGTATATTGAATGCATTGACTATTCATGCACCTACTGTGGAAAATGTTTTTGTTAGTGAAATCGATCGTGTTGTCCAGTGGGCTGGTACAGATTTTGCTGCAGATATTCGTAATCTTTTACAAGACGAATTTTCTAAAAAACGCAAACCATTACCACAACCGCCTCGTCGTTCACATGGAACGGAAGATTTTGATCATAAACAACAACGAGTGATTAGTGATTTTAGTAAACAAATCGATTGCCTACTTCATTATGGTAAATTTATTAATCGTCCATCACAAATGAATGAAATGTTGGCCTTTTGCAATCTAAGAGTAAGTGATCACTTTTTTTGTTTTGACTTTTGTTTTCGTTAACACTACTTGCTATGCCATCTAATTATTATTCCTTTTTTACGGATTACTACTGACGAGTAGTAACGTGTTCGTTTGTATAAAAACAAAATTCTTAATAACACCATATTTGTCATTCCGATTTTTCCTAGTGTTTAATAGCTTATTACCATGTTAATTTGGTTAATCAGTAGGGAATTAAAGACCTAGATTTCATACCAACGGGTAAAACGTATCTGAATTGTTGCTGGGTACTAACGTTCATTAAGTTGTGTTTACTCCATGTATTTTTGCAAGATTTTTTCAATATCCTTGTTACTTTCTGGTTCAAGTTTATTACTATTCATTAATGTTGTTTGTTAATTTCTGAACTGTAATTTATGACCCTTCACACTTTTTTTGTTTAAGTTATCAGTTTAATCTATGTTCAAGTGAATTAAATGATTTTCTATCAATATCCTCTTGTGTATACATATAAATTATTCTGTTCTATTTGTAGAAATTCTACGAATCTATCAATCGTAAAGATATGATTTTACGTTATTTATATCGACTGGATCGATTGCATGCAGCATATTCTAACCAAACAGAAAGAGGTTATACTTTGGAACTGATCAGTGAAAATTATTCGGTAAACATTTACTTTATATTTCACTAGTGAACATTATCCTTTCTCCTGATATCTCACTCTTTTCTATTGAGAAAAGAGTGAATATATGTATATTAATTTATGAGATTATGCGTGTTATATATATTATTTATATGGATGATCAAGTATCTTTTATACTGAATTATTATGAGGCGAACTGTAAACTGTTGTTTTTGTGGAGCAGCGATGTATCAGTTGTTAAGGTGTTCGATTTTCAGTCACTAAGTCATAGGTTTAATCATCGCTTTACCTATATCGGTTTTGGAAACTGAATATTTTCAATAGACCTGACACTGAGAGTTTACTCAGAGTACACGAATTTTTACCCTGCGAGCGACTGTTTCATATCGATTACTATTAATCGACCAATTGTTTATCATATAAATCAAGATTTGTTATCGTGTGAATGATTTAGATCCGACACAGTGGTAACTTATGATATGAAGGATACTTGTCAATTCACTGGATTAGGAATTTTAAGCTCGCATATTTTTCCATTCACATTGTATCATAGGGGGATGTTGAAGTTTTTTTGACGCATATCTATATCGATATTATAAGAATTTAGAAGCAGTTATGAATATAAAAAATGGTTTCAATAAAACCGAATGAAATGTTACGATGATATTGAACAGTTCGAACTGAGAATTATAGGCAAACAACGTACGGGATATCTGTCCACTCTTAGTAACTTATTTCCCACTGAATATCAGGAATATCGAAGCTCTGGACCTCCTAAAACGATTCGGTTTACGAGTCAATAACTTGATAAACTGATACCATATGTTCGTTAGACTGCCATGAAGTTTTTTCAAATCTACTTCAATATCGTGTAACATCGTTCATATTGGCGTTGGTTCGACATGCCAATCATTTCAGTCTATGCAGCTTCAGGGTCGTCACATCAACTGATTTGTCATCACTGCCTAGTACTCTACGACTAACCTTAACTCTGCTTTGTTGGTTTTTCCAGTCTACGTGACCAGTTCTTCGTCGATATCTATAGTCAAAATCTATTTATATACATATATTCTCAGCCTTCAATGCTCATTTTCCATGTGTATTAACTGATTCAACATTATTTGAAAGTTTCAATGTAATCTATAAACCAGTTTCCTCCACTTATTATGAAAATCCATACCATATCTCAGTGATTAACTTCTTTTTCTCTGTTTTTCTTTTTTTTTTTTAAAAATAATAATAGTGGGATGAAACCAGTGTTGATGTGGATGACGTATCACCCCATTATGTACAATATGGAAAAAGTTCATCACGAGAATTACGTGAACGTTTATTGCTTGATAGTTTTGAATATTTAAAACAAGGTACCGATTGGGAGCATGCAATAGATATATCGAATAAATTAATACATTTATATCGTGATATTATGCCAAATTATGAACGTCTAAGTGAAATATTGGTAAGCTTTATTTTTTTCACATTTAAAGCAATATAATTTGTCTTTGTTATAAACAAATTTTATGAATCATTTTCTGTTGTTGTAAATGGAATTCACAGTTACGAATCTAGTCACAATCATATCCTTTTATGTCTATCAGTTTAAATGTTTTTAAGAACTGGTGTTTATAGGGAAGATTTCAAGTTGATTACGAGAACATACCGCAGTGTGATTCTACAAGAGTGAGAGAAGAGTAGTTGTAAGTTTTATTCTTAAACATCTAATCACTCCACTGATCCACGGCTTAATTTTAAAGTTGTTAATACGATTCGTCCAAATCTACCAAGATTTCTTCGTAATCAATTCTTTAAAACTGTAGAATTTCTTACCAGCCCGAACTGTGCGTACAAAAGAAGTACGTTTTATCGTCATTGTAATCTTGCCTTTAAACTATTATTATTATTATTCATTTGGTATTGTTTTACTTGAATCTTCCTATTGATATTTAGGACGGCAATCGATCAGTCTCTTATTGGCATATGTGCATAATGTGCGTATTACCTCGATATTGCCTTAATTTACAAGCATTATAAGTAAAGATGGGATAGTGGCTAGCAGCGGAATCTACGACGCGCGTTTCGTCCCATTTGGGACTCATCAGACGGATGTACCTGCACCTCAGAGTTGATGTTCACTCCGGGATTCGAGCCCATGGCGTTTTAAGCGAACGGTACTAGGTTCGAGTCCCTGAGTGAACTCTGAGATGCAGTTACATCCGTCTGATGAGTCACGAATGGGACGAAACGCGCGTCGTAGATTCCGCTGCCAGCCACTATCCATCTTTGCTTATTATTATTATTATTATTATTATTATTACTATTATTATTATTACTATTATTATTATTATATTTCGTATTTGAAAACACCTTCCTTTCTTGTCAATTATTTTTTATATCTTGATTTTATTCATAATTGTTTCGGATATCGGTTCATTTCATTTCACCCCTCGATTACCTATAATTGCGTTTGATTGAGATCGCGAACTGATTGATGTTAGACCACCATTGAAAACCTGGAAGCACTGGACGGCCGTTTCGTCCTATTGTGGGACTACTCAACAGTGCGCATCCACGATCCCGCCAGCGGGATTCGAACCCAGGGCCTTCAGTCTCGCGCACGAACGCTTAACCTACTGGACCACTGAGCCGGAATCCCGCTGGCGGGATCGTGGATGCGCACTGTTGAGTAGTCCCACAATAGGACGAAACAGCCGTCCAGTGCTTCCAGGTTTTCAATGGTGGTCTACCATCAATCGGTTCATGATCTCAATCAAAAATTTAACAATCTCCACAACCCCTAAAAACCTATAATTGCATTTGATTATTTTAACAAAAACATTTTAATAATCTTATTTCATTCACATTATAATCCTATACCACTGAACATTGCACGTCGAGGCAGTCGGTCGTTTTGCATACGTAACACGTGTCCCAGCCATCTCAACTGATGAAGTTTCACTACTTCATCAATTGATTTGCCATCCTTACCTAGTGCCCGTTTCCTGACAACTGCATCACTTACTCGATGGTCCTGGGATATACGACCAATGCTTCGAAGACACCTATGATCAAATACTAGTAACTTAAAAATATCCTCTACTCTTACTAGCCATGTTTCACTGCCATAAAGTAGGACGGAACGAACTGCTGTGCAGTAAACACGTCCTTTGGTTGATAGACGGATATCTCGCCTACGCCATAAATGACGTAAGTTGGCAAAAGCTAGTCGAGCCTTCTGTATCCGTGCTGAGATTTCGTCACACACCAGACCACAAGGGCTGATGAGACTTCCAAGATAAGTGAAGCGGTTGACACGCTCAACTACTTCACTCCCTATCATTAGTTCGGGTGTCAATGCAACTCAATCCTGAAGCAACATTTTGCATTTCGAGAATGGGGAGAATCGCATCCCGAACATGCTTGCATTGTTGCTTAGAGTGGTCAGAAGACTCTGCATTTTGTCAGCGTCTTCACCAAATAGAACTATGTCATCGGCATATTCTAAGTCAACAAGTGAATCTCCCGGTAGAAGTTCAACCCCTGTAAATTTAGATGAGAAAATTGTTATCTCTAGAAGTACTTCGACGACAAAGTTAAACATGAATGGAGAGAGTGGACATGGACCACTCTATCTTGTTTCTGAATGATCTCTAACTCATACAGTACGTACAAGTTTTAAGCTATGGTCTTCGTATTACCACTCTCAGTGCTCTTCACCTAGCCAAGACTTTGGAGTAGATAGGATGGGGTTCAAACATGTGATGAATAATTAATTGGAAGTCAATTGGTTGAACTATTAAACCACCACCTCTATAGAAATGGTTCTGCCTTTAAGTATGTCAGCAAGGAAGAATCCTTTTCATTTATCGTTTTATGTTACTATTATATAAGAACAAAAAACAGATTACTTGGTTAGCATTGGGACTATTGAGATCAGGGCTTAGTGATTGGAATGCGGTTTTATTATCGTTCTCTCTGTTATTATCTATTAGTTCATCTATTTAATCAGCAGGACCAGTGACCTTGTAAATATCAAGTGACACACTGTCCAACGAATAACAATCAAGACCTTAGTTCTGATTGGCGCTCGAGCTCTTACAAACTCAGTGTTTAGTTGGAAGACGAAGACAGAAAGCAGATCAGTTATCTGTTATACGTGATTCTATCGTGACTTAAAAGTCATGCAATAATATGCCTAAAATGTCTGGTCACACAACAACACAGTTAGGCGGTTACGATGTGCATATGACTTATTCATAGGTGATATAAAATCGAAGTAATAGAGAAATCACTAATTATTTATAAATCTGACAATGATCTATGGATCAAACGAAATCTTAGTAACCAGAGATTAAAGAAATACAGCAGTTCAATCATCTACTAATGGTACAATAAAAATGTAAACAATAGTCCTTTGTATGACAGTTTCAAAAGCTATGCCTCCACATGAATCATCCTATTACTTATTAGTCTTACTAATTAGTTATAGGCATGTAGAATTATAGGAATTTCGTTTGCTTTTTATCATTTATCAGAATATTTTCTAGAACCATCTCTTCTTTTTTTTCTTTTCTCTTTTATTTCTTTGCAGAAAGAACAAGCTAACTTGTATAGAACTATTGTTACAAATGAACATTCACGTTTACCATTTCGTTATTATTTAATTGAATTTTATGAACCAACAACATCAGCTTTAATGATGATAACAAATCGTAAATTAATCTACCGTACAACATCAGATTTAGGTGATGTATTAAATATGCTAACGGAACAATTTCCTGATGCAAAAATATTAAACCAACCATTGACAACTACAAATCAATCAACATTGAATACATTTTGTATATTTGCTAGTGGGAATTTAGAACCAGAACCTGAAATACCGGAACATTTGAATTCACGTATTGTTGACACTAAAATTAAGAAGTAAATATTTTAACCTAGTAGAAGTTTTGCTTATTTAATTTGCGCACAGACTCTGACACTTCGTATTGATTTTGAATAGTTGGAAGTAGTCGATAATGAACTCCGGATCTAGGTTTTGTTCTGATTGACACTCGCCGGCGAGATATACTTGTAATCTCGAGGTAACTGATGCTTCCTGGTAGATTTGAATCTAGTATCACACTTTCATGATCTAAGATGTTACCAATAAGGTATTTAGGACACATTTGGTCCCCGGCGAGACTGAAATATATGAAGTTGATTGATCACAGTGTTGTGCCGAATGTATTGTTTGTCAAACCCTTCGGTATTGATTGAATCTCACAGAAAGCATGAATTCTCTCAGGATTGTAGATATGTATTACTGACGAATGCCATCTAGCACGAAACATTAATCCAAGGTTCCATCCTTCATCCCAGAGTTGATGTTCACTTCGGGGCTCAAACCTGGAGCTATTAACTTCAAACATCACCGCGTTATCCATTTAGCTACTGAATTCAAATAGCCACTAGCTTATGCAATGAATTGAATTTTAATTCATATATATTGGTTGTTTGGATTTTCCCATTAATATATATGACTGGAATTGATGAATATCTTTTCATCACATGTTCATCTTATGCGGATTGCCTCGACACTCCCATCAAATCACAAGCATTTTTAATCAGATATGGAAGGTGGCAAGCTGACAGATCCAAAATAGGACAAAGCGTCTATCCTGGGTTCTACTACTGGCCATCATTCATATTTTCTCAAAAATGCTTGTAAATTAATAGGAATATTGCGGCGATTCGCACAGGATCCATATATCCCCAAAACAGACTAGTCAATTGGAGTCCATAACACTAACTCAAAATCGTTTTTTAATTCTCTTGTACTTGTTAAATGAATAATTACATCGCATTATAAATGCATTGATTATCATTATCCCTAACATGTTTAAACAAGCTATACTATCATAGTGAACATTTACAATTTTCCTTTAATGTTTCTCATTAAAATGTATTGAGTAGCATATTCAAAAGTAAATAGAACCCATCTGTTTATCCTTGAACTGTCTATTTGAAATTGCTTACAATATCTAGCTGAATATATATTCCACAAAGAAAGAGAGGTGTACGCCTGAACATCATACCTTTCACTGTAAAAGACTTAACTGCTTACAATATTTTAATGTGAACTATATATATAGTAGTAGTAGGATTGCTTACAGATGGTGTTGTTTCTTTTCTTTCTACGTATTCAGACCTTATTAAATTGTCTTTAGAAAATTCTTTCTGGTTTTCCTTGCTTTTATAAGATTTTTCCATGTAGAGATTATTATTCTATTTTCCTTATTGTGGGCTTTGATTTTCCTTCACCTTTAGTTACTATTCCAAAAATCGTGTGAAATACTTTTTGAGGCATAGACCGTTACAACCTACTGAGGTTAGTTTTAATGATACAATGTTTTTTACCTTATGGTAGCTTTTGTTTACTTGTTCAATTTATTTTTAACTAGAACACAGCGAATTTAGTTGGAGGGTATTTATAGATAGATGGTGGGGGAGATTTGTATCTCAGGTGAATGAGTTTGGTCGGGTCTCGTTCTCTGAGTTAGACGGTTTAATCGTGAAGTTTTCATTTTTCTTTTGAATGACATCAGCTCCAACTTAGCTTGACTTGTACTTAATCTTTTCACAAATTGATGTCAGATTATCACTGGAATCCAGGGTGTAATAAATAGCTGTCTCGTGCTGACATAGAACTCAATATTACGCGTCTATGACTTTACCAAGGATCGGATCCAGGGTGTTCAGGTCTTACTGCAAACTACTGGGTCGAAGTCCAATAGTACAATCTCAACCTTAATCAATTTCCTATGTATTGTGACAGGCACTCACTACCATTGGTGTCAATTGTCCAGGACTCTGATTTTTAATGACACATCAACTGAGGTCTATTTGTCACATGAATACTACCTACAAACATAAAATATGCTCATAATAGCAGTTAGGAAGATTTTTGGTGCAGTCGTTTTGCCCATTTCATTAGATGCACACATATCTCGTAGACATCATATCGGTGTTATGGGATGATGGCTGTAGTATTACACGAATCATTGGACTCAGCATTTATTAAGTGACCTGAAAGAAAGTCTTTTGTTTAATCCCTGATGTGGTCATGAATATGCACTACTAAAAAGTTACAAACTGGGACTAGAAATCTGTTCGGCGCTGCTTATTTTTCGATAGTTTTCCCAGTAAATTTACCATTAAACGATGTTTTACAGAATAACAAGGTATGAATTACGATAAATCACTAACTTCGTTAAATCTAATCATGATATAAACATGATAAATCATACAGAGAGATGAAATTTGGTATTTATTTATACATTTCAAAGTAGCTTTCACTAGAAACAATTGATTTATTTTAAAGAATCACTGATAATCGGAAAACACTGGACAGTGGTTTCATCTTAGTATACTCTGTTTCCGGCTAGAGATTTAGGATGTTCTATTCACAATTTATTAGGTGGATGCATCTTTCATTCTAGCCTTGATTTTCACATTAAGACCCTTACTTAGTCCCTTTATATCTATTAAACAATTTAGTGATACAGTAGTTTTATGCGAAAGGTTCTGGGTTCATTTTTCAACAAGGCTACCAGACGTTATACTGAGACCATCCACTAAAGCTTTACATATGGAAACAGAGATTGTTGGAAAAGTGCGAAAATTTGCTAATTGTTTCGTCTTATTCATACAATTAATTTCTTTTCCCAAAGTAAGAACAACAATATTTACAGAATATGATTGGCGGCCTGCTTGTGAATATCTGGACTACTTGTTCCTGCCATCTAGATATTTCAACAAGTTGTTTGTTTTAACACATCATGATGTCTATTAATCACATAACCTAATCAGGTGCGTTTGTGAAAAGTTTACGATCTTTCTCTGTACAATTAGTGGTTGCTAACAATATGAATTGAAAGGAATGAACATTATTCAGATGTTGATTCCCGAGATTGCTAACATCTATCTGGCAATCACTCAATATTTATCACCAAGATCAATCAAGAAATAAGAAACAGAAACTAGTTTAAATACTTTGTTTTGACAACTCTATATTTTATCAAAAATATAATATTAAATAAAGCCATTCATAAAATAAATGATAATAATACATTAGATTTCATTGCTTTCTCTTCAACTACATACGAGTTAATGATGTTTCGTTACTGCTAATTATTAATTAATTACGAATAAGTTGTGTATTATATGAAAGAAGATAACAATTCAAAGTTTAAAAAGGCCGGGATTTTTGCACAATCCTTTAACGTATTAGTCCTAGAATTTTATTATTATTTCGCATTATAACAAAATTCTTAGAAGTTTAAGCTCGAAAAGTGGACTTGTAAGGTCAACTCAGTAAATTATAATTACATTTGGTCTAGAAAAATAGGGTCAAAATGTTGCCAAGGCATTTGAAGGTTAACTAACTCACTCTTTTTTTTTAAAAATGAGGTCAACTTTAAGCTGTATAATTGTTATAGATTTTGGGGATTTTAACAAGGTGGAAATTAGTCTATTTACTGACTATTTTCTTTTAACTTGAGATCATCAACCGATCAATGTTAGACGACCAATTAAATCTAGTATGAGACTACTCAACGGTGCTCATCAACAATCCCGCGTTCGGGACTTGAATCCAGGGCCTTCGATCTATGGAAAAATTCATTAAAACCATAAAGGGTATACCAAATTAAACTATGCATGATTTTACGTTGGATTTGATTCAGTGACTGACTGATGTTGGAAAAGTTGATCTTTTAACTTGAAAATCTCAGTTTAACTCGTTTATTTTTATTGTTTCAATTTTAATTTTTTCCGTTCTAGAAAAAAGATGGTCGTCTTGTCACTAATACAGAAGAAACTCGTTATTGTATTGCAGAGCCGATGCCAAATATCATTCCTATTATGCCAGTAGATAGAGTGGAAATTGTAAGTTAATTATTTCTCTTGCCAATAAAAAGTTTATATCACGAGAAATGATAGCAATTGTAAAAAGACTGTTAGGTGTATAACACGGAATAACTGTTCCATCTTTATTATTTATGGCCTCCTTTATTGTGGGTATTTATGATCATGTCCGGGGTCGAATCCATGACTTTATCTCATAGTAACCATACTTTCTTTAGATAACTATATTTTTCACCAGACAAGCTTTTTTATACTCTACTGTTTAGTTAAATTACAAGCGTAATAAGCTTCTTGTTGTTTGAGAATGAAAGAATTTCTCTAAAGGACAGACTTTCTTTCGATAACGGCTTTACCTTCTCCACAAATGTCTTCGTCAGTATATTCTACTAACAAGTGTAAGATACAGACCACCAAACAACTGTCCAATTGGACGGAGAGTAGTTGAGCAAAGTAAAAGCCAAATGGTACATCTAGTGATAACTGGTCTACACTACAGAATCCACAAATATCAACAAATTTTGGAAAACCAAAAGAAGAGGCTAAAGAGGATACTTACATCAGAACAATCTTGACAACGGTAATCGAGATATCAAGTAGACGACACAAAGAAGAAACACCTTCAAGGATAAACTAATCAATATTTCAAAACTACTCCAGAAGAAAACACAAACAATTACGTGATAAATCTGTAAAAACAACCTCTGACGAACTTAGAAGAACACCTAAAAAAGGATTGAACTACAATACAAGTCACGCTTCAAAATTGGAATTATTCTCTCCACTGAACTCATCACTCAAAATAATCGGAATAAATAAAGAAACTCAACAGGAAGTAAGACAAACTGTAGTATCTCTAGCGGAAGAAAGATAACACCCAACTGATTGTACAAAAACAAAAAGTCTTAACCCAGAACTAGAGTAGACATTGTCATAGTTTCGACGGATAATGGATGCACTACAGTAATTACGGACAAAGATGAATACATCAGGAAAATCGATGAACTAATTAAATATAAAAGTGTATATAAATCAATAGACACAGTTTCAATCAAAAAGTTCGACAACCGAATTTCTAGTGTAATGAACGAGGTGGGGACAAACGATTGTTTTCTAATTCAAAATTACAGAATATCTTGGTGAGATATGAGAACCATACACTGCTTACTTCATTTGAAAATTTCCATCACTTGTCCTTCACAGTCTGTATAATTCTTCCAGTTCAAAATTCCTTTCTATGTTCCCTTCTATTTTCTTCAACTCGATCCTCTTAGCCCTCTGCTGCCAGGTTTCTTAAATATTACTTATGTCGACAGATATAAGCTAATAAATAGAATACAAATATCAAGACAATATTGATTGCGAATGAAATTCAGTGAACTAGTGCTTACTCGATTCTACGTTAGGCCGAAACTACACAAAACAAACATTCCCCTGCGTCCAATTTTATCACTTCCCGGAACCCCAACATACAATTTATCGATAGAAATTTCAAGAATATTGTAACATTTAGTAGATTCATCAAGTTACTCCATTAAGTCTCCCATTAAATTCTTGGATAAGATAAACGAAATTCAAATCAACAATGACAAACTGAAGATATCCTTTGACGTAATTTCAAGAATATTGTAACATTTAGTAGATTCATCAAGTTACTCCATTAAGTCTCCCATTAAATTCTTGGATAAGATAAACGAAATTCAAATCAACAATGACAAACTGAAGATATCCTTTGACGTAATTTCAAGAATATTGTAACATTTAGTAGATTCATCAAGTTACTCCATTAAGTCTCCCATTAAATTCTTGGATAAGATAAACGAAATTCAAATCAACAATGACAAACTGAAGATATCCTTTGACGTAATGGCCTTATTCATCTCAATCGAACCAAGCTTAGCAAAGAAAACTCTATCTGTCTTCCTACTCAATGAAAAATCTCCAAAAGTACACGAAGCTCTAAAAGTAAAGTCTACTAGAACTCATCGATGTATGTTTAACAACATGTTTTCAATTCAACAATAAAATCTTCAAACAGACCAAAGGAGCACCAATGGGATCACCAATATCAGAACTTATTGCATAAGCAGTGATATGGAGATTGAAAGCCTCGATTTTACCAGTTTAATCTGGCACTTTCTTCATTAATTATCAATGATTTCTTTTTTTCATTTGATACGTATTGCTTTTTATCATAGTTAATCGTAATACTACCAGGATTTCCTTATTTATCACTAGTATAGATCCGATCCAATTAACACAAGAGCACACTTACAACTGATTGGTCGCTGAATAGTGAACGGTGTTATGTGTCAAGTCCTTCTTAGTACTGATTGAATTCTATCGATTAAGTTGCAATGTGGCCACTAGTATAAACGATTCGAAATCGCATGCATTATGTTAAGATGATATTTGCAGGTAATCGACGGTAAACTCTGAACAACGGATATGAATCGACCAGTAAGCATGAGTTCTCTCAAGATTACAAGTACATTTTGCTAACAAGTGTCATATAGTACAAAACCTAAATCTGGGGTTTCTTGTCAACTACCTTCAACCGCCACCTTGTGAGAGCATGTTTCGCATATTGTTTTCTTTAAGTCCAATAAAATTTATATCAAATCAGTGTCATTTAATTTTGGTATTATCCTACTCTTTTTTTGCATACATCTTGGAATATTTGACATTTAGCGTATGTTAAGTCAAACAGAGTGGGCTAATAAACAAATTCAAGGGATTATACAAGCATTGCATGCTGACTTAATCTCAGCCAAATCACAAGACGCTAATTTATCTCAATATATTGGTAAACTTGTCTCATCTATTCAGTCACCTGTTAGTGGCGGTGTGCCAAAATTAGTGGTAAGTTCTGTTGGATTGTGTTTTTTCGAAAAAAAATTATTCACTTATTTAGAATCTGATCGTTTGATGTTAATTTAGCGATTAGACTGTATATTTCGATAATGTAATAAGATGAAAGTTATCTTGGTGGAGTTTTGTTCTCTGAGCTGGATGGTTTGGTCGTGGAGCTTTCATCGTTCTTCTGAACGACATCATCAGCACAAACTTCAGATGAAAGTTATCAGAATTATGTGATATATTAGCGCAATAGATTTCGACCAATCTGATCACATATATACTTGTTAAGAGCATTTATATTTAAAAATAAAAGGTCAACTAGACTGGAAATGGGGTAAAAGGAGATAAGGATAATAATAATAAGAGTAGTAATACTGTGAACACAATTTGAAACCTAATCACTTTGGATAATAAGTCAATATTACCAGGGTAGGTTTATGGTAAGAACAAACTTTCTGAACACACAAAGGGAGTTTGAATTTTCGTATGGCTAAGGCTTCAATAAACCTTAGTATACGCCCTTTTACACTTTTGTATAAAACCACAAAAGCCGAGTTTAGAACAATCTTATGGCCTATTTCAGTTATATGTTTAGCATTAGAGGATGATGGATGTTTATTCTCTACTCTTATTGGGTCACTTGATTGTATCTGTTTCTGCAACCATTTTGGTACATGTTCACACACCCTAATTTTGAGATCACGATTGTGTGATTTGATTGTTTGAAATCTATTGCGCTAATATATCACATAATTCTGATAACCTTCGTCTTCTTATTACATTATCGAAATTTGTCAAAGGGACTAATTGCTTTGGACTGTATATGTCTGAAATATATACGATTGGAATCGTTCTGTGTACTGGACGTAACTAAACCTTAACATGCCTAAAATTCCACTGCTTTAACAGATAACATTGTCTTATTCAATTATCCACTTGTATATATGGTTTATTTTCACCATTTTAATAACAATAATTGTGGGTTTATAGCTATAGAGTTTGATAGTGAAGTTTATTGAAAACAATTATTCTCTCCAATATTATTTGTTCTGTTTATATCGACTATTATGAATTTAATATCGGATGAAGACATGCGATATCGACTGATTTATAAAAATAAAAAAACGGCTAAAAGTCACCTGTCAATCAGTTACAAACAAAATAAGATCTAACATATATACACATTGATCCTCTTCAAATAGCCACTACACTTCACATCATAATACTAAACGGTAATAAATAGTATGAAGAGCGAATAAATCTAAATAATACTAGGATTAGTAGCGGTAGTGTAGTGGATGCTACTCACAAGAATGTCTGTAAGTTGTTTGTAGCGGAACTTGGAGTCAAAGTTGCAACAGTTGTCAGACGGAGTGAAGATTTCCAATGCAACGACGTCGTTGTCATATATATAACACTGATGCATGAAGACCGTAACTAACTGGATAGTTTGAACTACACAGTAATGTGGGAAAATGTAAACCAAATTTATTGTATAGGATTTTTAAGATCCAACATAATGTCACTGAATGTATTCATTTATTCATGTTTTTTAGTTGTTCATATTTTATTGGCTTATACTCATTTTGCTCTTTTTTCCGTAATTTAATAATACTTTTTACGCTTTTTCTCTCATACAAATTTTTCCACATTCCGTAATTTTCTGTTTATTCACCATTATTATTATTATTTGATAACCTTTTAAGAGTTATTTTGATAATTTTATCTCTCTGTGCTAGCCATATAGAAACTTGAACCGATATATGTTTGCGTCAAGTTCTACGTCCAGTATTATTGATTGACTGACTATTTTTATTCAGTTTAATAAAGTGAGGATTTTATCGGATTTCTTCCTCAATATTCTAAACTGTCATTTTTTCCTGCCTATCAGTTAATACTTCAAAATTAGCTTTACTACTTGAGAGTTAAGTTTTATATTCATTATTGTTCTTGAGAGTAATAATTGGGATCTTTTCTACTGTCAAATCAACTTATATTCTGTAATCAGTGTTCTAAGCTGATGTGATGCTTTTTTAAAAGTTTCTTGAACAGTTATTGAGTTGTTGTGTCTCTTTATGTGCTATGTATGGTCAGTCCCTATATTACTAATCTTTTCTACTACTTCTACTGTTCTGGGTTTTTGTCTGACTGTGCTAATGTTAATGTGTGGCAACCTGAACCAGTCAACCAGTAGCAACGTAGATCCTGTTCGTATGTACAGGCCAAATCCCAAAATAGTAGAGGTCGTAACATCATAATTGGTAATAGGAAAGATTAGGCATCGAAGATACGACTTGAAAAGAAAATACGAATTAGCAAAATAAAAATAAAACAGTTATGATGAATTTAGAATTTCAGAACTTGATGGAAGACAACTACCGGATGCACCTGTGCCATTGCAAAAGATTTTGAGCCATGTCAATCAAGGTCTCTAACCACTGGTTACGATAATCATGCAGACCCCAACCAAGTAGTCTACATTTATTAACATCACTAATTCCAATTGTCACTGACTTCATTAACTGATGCCATGTTTTGATTTCGCCAAAGCACATGTGTCGGGTTCTATGTTGCATATAAACTGACTAGCTGAGTGATGAATTATTTGATTGACAAATAATTAGAAACGATATTTATTAGGAAATCTTTACTATTTGTGAGAAAAAATGACGGAATTTTTAATATGATATTTGTGATCTTACGATACGTCTATTTACAAGGAACATTTCAGTAGATAAATATTTTACTATAAGTTACAAATTCATTTGAGCTCTTTCTAAGTCACTTATGGTGTCATAAACTTTCTACTTTGACAATATTTCATATCCACGTTAAGCGAACATCGACGATTACATTCCAATACTTTTTCCAAAAAAATGTACTGTTACATAATCGGAAAATTACTTCACAAATCACCAATATTAGTGAGATAATTACGTTTACTTAATCCTTATTGTTATGACCTTGAATGTCTGTCTTTTCTATCACACGATTTATCTACCAATCCGAATACGACTTATACGAATCTTCACACTAGGCCAACCAATGACGTTCAACCGGTGTGGGCAGTTTAGCGTCCTTATTGGTCCTATGTCCTACGAGCCCTTCCACAAAATACCAGCTTCCGAATCAGAGCAGATCGTTTATTTCAGGCATACTTGGTTTATATATCAATCATACAGACCTCAACGTACCATAAAATAGGAAATAATATTTGTACACAAATAAGCCCAAGAAGTGGCTGTGAATGTGGGAGGTAGTAGTTAATAAACTGAACATAACTTAAGAACCGTAAATGGTACAATAATAAATTATAGGCCAAAATAAAGCTTGTCATAAGAGGGATACAAATATACATAATGTAATTGTTGAATAGTTATACAATAAGAATATTTATAGGATATTAGTCCATGAATAGTCCTCGGAAGTTACCTGTAATTTAATCTCCACTCGGATATAACACTTATTAGGTTTGCCTATTAGTTATATAAATAGACCATACTGCGACATTTTTATGTAGTTAGCAAACTCTCGTTCTTGTATAATAAAGGATATGTGGATAACTGACTTTTTATCTAATACAGTTTGTTTCTATTGATCATTCAACTGTTATTGGGATATAGAGCAAATAAGACTGGCACCATCATTTTTGTGCTCTTTTAAATCAATGAATCTATTTCCGAGACTTTTCCAATCTTTTTTACACACACAGACCGACAAATAGAAAATTTATGTTACTTTAGAGGATGAAATAGATTTCTCAGTTTTTTACCACTACCATCTCGTTATCATCAGTATTTTTATTTTCATACTTAATAATTTTAAAATCTTTTATAGAAAGACGTTGAGCTATCCGATGATCCACGACAAGAAAAATGTTTCTCTCAATTGGCTGACAGTGTTTTAGAATTATTGGAATTGCAATTAACATTTCTGAAATTTTGGTATGTAAACGATCCACCACCACCGCCTCCAGCATCTCATCGTTTAGCTGCTATGTATAATGCTGATATGATTGGTAATGTAAGCAGTTCTACTGTTGGAGGAATTACAGGTAGTGGTAACTATCTTTTGTATGAAATGATCGGTTACTATGAAGTACTGGTTCGTGATATGAGTAGAAAATTTGGCTTTTCTGTTGACCATTTAAATGCAGATCACCTTCGTTATGGTCCAATATCTACAGATCGTCAAAATAATATTATTAATTCTACTAGTAATGTTAATACTAATTTATTATCACCACTTCGTCGTAATTCACGTTCATCACAAAAGTAAGTTGCATGTTTCATTTTATTTATTAAACTTCTTATTCCTAGAAATTAATTTAGTGAAAGGATTTATTTCCGAAATGTAGTTTTTTCATTTCGATTTTGAAGTCTAGTAAATCCATGACACAATCGATTGGTCAGCTGTAATCAGTTTTGACCTGGGATAAATATACTTTAGCCTAGGCTCCTAATCCACATCTGTATGAGGAGATAAAATTGATAAGATAAATAATAAAATAATCGTTGTAGTAATGGTAATGAAAAAGATTAGACATCGAGATTAGTGTTTGAAAGTACTGAATGAAAAGCCCTATTTGATGGAAGACAAAGAGTGAATGCGTCTGAACCACTTTGACCGATTCTAAAGCCATGTCACTCAATGTCTTCAACCACTGATCTCTATTATAGTGTGAACCCTCACCACGTGATCTGTACCTACCAATATGGCTCAGATCAACAGTTAATTATTCCGTGGATTAATTCTATGTTTTAGTTTGATCACTCCTAACTTTATTTCAACCTACTATTACACCGCCCTTGTGAGTTAGGCGGTGGGCGGGCGTACATAAAACATATATCAATCACCTCAGTTGATTGTGATTCATAAATTCCTTAACCAGTTCTTATATTTCACAAATATCGTATGAATAACCATAGGATTGATTACTTGATCGTTCTATGGTACCCGAATAATTCTTTGAAATAACTGATGATCAAACACCTATAATCTACACATATCTCACACTTTCAGAGACTTTCACAACCATAGAATGATGCACAATGAACTTACTGCCCAATATACTCGCCACTTGGTTGGCAGATATACATGATCTACACCACAGGCGATGGAAGTTAGTTTAATTAGACACCAACTCAACAGTGCTGATGAGACTTCTAGTACAAGTAAAGTGGTTTATATGTTCAACTTCTTTACTCACTATGATCAATTTAGATGATGATATAAACCAGTGTGAAACAATGTTTTGCATTTAGATGGAGCGAAACACATTTCGAACATTCTCGTATTGTTACCCAAGCTAATCAAAAGACTCTACATTATGTTACGGTCTTTATCAAATAGGATTCTTCGGTTTATCGATTTGCGAGGTGTCACTAATGATTCCTTGAAACCTAACCATTTGAGATTGTCCACATATTTTAATCTTAGCCAACCATTGTCTACTGAACCATCCTATAGTCACTGACGAAGTCTTGTGTGCAGCATGAAGATTATGGAGTGATGAACTGTAATGAGTTGAATAGGTATATATTCTTGCTAAGTCATAATTTGCTCATTTCTTTATTCCTATTTAAGAACATGTAAACTCTTAAACCATGTCGTTCACATGCTTCAAATAGATAGGACAACCTATTAGTTGAATTAATTAACAGGTAAATATATATAATTTCTTCAGTATATATTGGTACTGAAATTGACTAAACTTTGTTGCAATATATATCATTATCAACACTATTTGTTATTGTCTTCGCATGTAATGCTTCTTCACTATAACTCCAGACTTTTAGTTTAATTATTGGGATCCCTTAATAACATGATATATTTCTACTATTTCTTCAGAATATAGGACACAACTTCTTGATGTTTGGATTCATATACCATCTTTAAGTCAAAAAAATATCAAATCTTATAGTACCAGTAAACACGCTAATGTTCTAGTTACTCACTATCAATTATTGTGTATTCTATTAATTACTATATCGGTCAAGTTTAATGTTAGTAAACTGTCAAGATTTATTCAATCCTATGAAATTGAACTATATATTCTTAAGTCGGTTGAACTGCTGCTATTCGATGTTTTATTCGTCTGTTTAACCATACTGTGACGTTTTCCGTTAATAAAATAGCCAGCCATAATCTACATCAGAGCCTGATAGTTTTTATTATCTACTAATGATGATTTCTCCACCATCTCACTAATGATGATTGCTTGCTTATCAACACATACATACAAGTCAATCTGCTTTAGAATCTACGAAGTGTTTTATTGTCTTTCCTTATCTTAATTTCGACAATTGATCTCTAAAATCATGTACCAAATACAGTTTTACATGCTTAACTTGTGAATTGCGTATTGTATTCGAGACCTAGTAATACTACTTACTACTCAACGGTTAGAATTGAAATTAATGGAGTTTAAGGTTTGAATCTACGACCTAGTAGTTCTAAAAACGGATACTTCACTACCCATTTACCAAACGCTCCACTTTACTTTCTACACCATTCAATTCGCTTTCCCCAAACTGCGTTTAGATTTCTGATTATTTTGGTGATCACTAGCTTTACCCTACTATATAGTTGATATATTGCATGCAGCTCTTATTGTAGGCAAGAGATAACATTTTCATCGTTTGAATTCTGAGATGTTGATGTTTTACTAAAAGATTTACTTGTTGACTTTGAATACGCAGATGATATAGTTTTGTTTGGTGAAGACGCTGAAGAAAATTCAGTTTTCTGACTCACAAAAATACAACCATGTTTGAGATACGATTATCTCCTTCTAAATGTAAAACGTTTCTTGAGGATTAGCTTGCATCAGCGCCAAGATTAATGGTAGGAAGTGAATTAGTTGAACGCATCAACCTATTTACTTATCTTAGGAGTCTTATCAGTCCTGATGGCCTAGTTTCTGATAAAATCTCGGCATGGACCCAGAAAGCTAGATTGGTTTTTGCCGACTTCTGTCACTTGCGGCTTAGATGAGATATCCATCTTCCAACCAAAGGGCGAGTATATTGTGCAGCAATCTACGAATGTCATAATGTGGATGTAATGCTCATAGCAATATAATTTGATGAGTGAGTAATATAATTGCGTATTTGCCACAGTTTTATGTCTATATGAATACTGATAATAATTCCACTACGATAATAACAATAATGATAATGGGATATTTCACGAAATAGATAGATGAGAAGAGTTGATACATGGACAAAGTACAGATAAGACAATACGATTTGTTTACGTGCATGTCCTTGATGTACTAGCTTCTCTATTTGAATCGACTCAGATTTGATTGTGTGATTATGTCAACGAAACATACATGCCGGCTACCCTCGTATATAATTATTGACTTAATTCACGTTAGGGAATAACAGAATAAATGTATCAAGCACGAGAATGAATTTCGGATAAATATATTCCATACATCCGTTGTTCCAGACAGTCAATGAGATAGATGGAGCTAGAATGAATCATGTATGCATTGGTCTTAGACACTACAATTGTAACCGGTGCTTCAAGTTTTTTAATGACAGCTCGGAATCATTCTCATTTGCGCACGTATATCCATTCTTTGTCTCCTCCCAAATACTGAACTTCAGAACTCTTCATAATTTTTTATTTCACTAATTTATATTCTTTTTTCGAGTTGTATCTTCGATTTCTGATCTTTTCAATTACTGATTGATACTTATACTACCTCTACTACTCTGGGATTAGGCCTAACAATTTGGTCTCTCAGTGCTAATGAGGTATGGCAACTTGGATAGATGCACATACGTACAGGTTTTACGTTGCGATTGTCTGACTGACTGATTTAATTACTGCTTGAGCGTTATATTAAATATTAGTTTAATTTAATAGTAATATGAGTTATGTCTTCATGTAAATCATGTATTTAGCATTGTGAATACTGGTGTTGCGACAATTGCTCAATCAACTGTCCCAAGAATTTTCTCGAAACCTGATCATTCTGGATCTGATCATGGATCGTCGATTCGTTCGTTGCAGAGATCTTTCCAAACGGTAATTTTAATCTACTTATTTGTATCATTATTTTAATCGTAACATTCTCAGTATAATCATACCACTCTTTGGAAGTTCATTTTACCTAGATCATTTTTTATCTCTAAAAAACTACACCATAGACCAATGTGTTTAAACTGAACAAGGTATACAAAGTCAAATTTCAATTACGAACGTGTTTATTTGAATCTTTGGTTTGTAAATGATTTGTTCAATTTTATAGAAATGGATTTGGTTGAAGTCACTAGTCCCAAATTCAATGACTAAATGATATAATAGTTACTACAACTCTTTAAAGTCCCTTGTGTTCGGTAATGTGTGTGTGGATGGGTTTTAGGTATAGATTGTTAAAATGTCTTGTGTTAGTGTTAAACAGTTGTTTAGTACTCTGTGTTTGTCAATAATCTGTTGTTATTCAATTCACTAAAGTAGTTTACACTCAAAAGAAAAAGAAAAATTACTCTATAAACGGAGACAGAAGGTGGATAGCAGTGTAATCCAGGACAGGCGTTTCGTCCGGTTCCGAAGTCGTCAGCTGAATATACCTGCATCCCAGGGTTCATGTTCAATCCAGGATTCGAACCTTGTACACTTGTTTCTAACGCCATTACATCATCCATCTATTTAGCTACTGAGTCCAGATATCCAATAGCTTATGCGATGGGTTGAAGTTTAATTTATTTGTTTTGGTTGTTTGAATCTTCTCATTTACCGATTGGGGTCCTAAACACCAATGTGAAAATTCAAACAGCTAATACAAATGCATCAAAGGTTTGCTCTGTTGACAGAGTCCCTAAAAAGTATTTCTAATTGTGTATTGTAAAGTTTTTTTTTTACTATAAATTGACTGAAACTTTGAAACATGGATTAATGAATTAGGAATGCTGATGTTATATGCACTTACCTGGAGGACAGCTAAAACTTCTGTGTTTTATTCACAAGGTAGTATAAAAGTATTATGTTTAACTTACAGAGAACTAATAACTAATAAATCTTTAATTGTACAAATCTGGAATTTAGCTTGTTAATTTTATCTTCCTGTGCTAAAGTGGTGTAGCAACTTTAAACGAAACATATGCGTGCCAGATTCTATGCTGCACTGTTTTAGTTTTGTTCTTGTGTTTCTGTTAATTTCTTTCTGAATCACTTTGTCGCATATGACTCCTTTGAATAGTTCTTCTCGTTGTTTATGTACATTAATCTAAAAATGGATCCTTATTCATGTATCGCGGCAATTCTCTTAGGATGCACACATATAGCAACAGAGATTGACCAGTTTCAATCCCTAATATTAAAACAACGTTTTCTGTAGTTTTTCTACGACCAGTAAGACGCAGATAAATACGTGCTCCAAATAGAGCATGATATGAGCTTTAACATGTGCTCCAGAATGATCAACAGTTCTTTTGAGCCTCTCCAACTATGGCTAATGACAATGTGGTCTTTTCGAGTCCATCTATGTGTCGATTGTGAGGGTTAGTATTTCACACGATGTTTCTCCTTGTGTTCATAGTTAGTGTTTGCTAGAAATAAACAATTAGCTGAGTATCAGTGCAGCAGATGGTTGCCCTGTATCTGTTCTCTGAGCCGCGACACTGTTTGGTTTAGTCTACTTATTTGAGCATTACAGTTACCTGCTACTACTACCACATCATATCATTTAGCTTTTTGAAAGTTGGATAGCTTCCCGTAAAATTCATCGTTAACTTCATCTGAGCTGCAGCCAGTGGAAGCGTAGGTAGAGACAACGAGAGGATGACGAGGTATGTCCCTATCTTTTCGATTTCTTGCTATCCCGTTTAGTCGGATAGCGCACAAGCAGTTTTCTATTGGAGTCCAGTCTGACATTCTGATCTGCTTTTGGGCTTAATTCTACAACTACACTAGTGAGGTAGTTAGAAGTAGCAGTCAAGGGTAAATTGTGCCGGTTTTCCATATCGAGGAAGTGAGGTGAAATGAATAAATGTATTTGAGTGGTTGTTATTTTGCGGTTGCCCATACCGTAAAAGGATAATTCTTGCTGACAGACCTGAAAAAGAAGCTGAATTAGTGGTAGTCCTAGCAACCTGGGAGTGTGAACACAGAGCCCAAGGAAAAACCTCTTGAGGTCGGTTGTGCATGGCCTTTTTATGAGAAGCTTTGATGTGTTAGCTCCGCACTTCAAAAGGCCTTACCGACGGAGACGGGAATCCGTGGTGTTAGGTGAGGTGGTACATTTTTAGGGTTGATCTTTTCTAAGCCCTTCCTTTCGTTGGTAACATCGCTGCAGTTCCTCATTGGCAAAGGGATAAACCTTACTGCCATCATAACCCTCTACAGTCGGCAGTATGATTTCTCCTTCACATCTTAAGTTATTGCTTTTAGTCTCACTGTTCCTTAACCGACCTGTCTGGCATGTTAGAACGTGAAGGAACATGTGTTCTATCCAATATAGCTCGGTTGGGTCACCACAATATGTAGGCCCGACCACCATACCAAGGTGGCAGCTACGGTCGGGATAAAAACAACGGGAAAAATGAAATCCTTGTTTATACAACGTAACCGCATGACGGTAGAACATGTTAATGGTTATCTGAACTCAAAAGCTCAATTTATAAAGCGGTAAAAATCGAATCGGAAGTTTCTGTTTTTAAATCTCAATGTGAATATCAACACTATGATACATGTATATTCAGTTAATGAATCACATGTAGGACGTAACAGACCTCTTAAATTCCTCTACTAGCCACGTCCGAAATATATGAAAGTATACAAAGATTATTCTGAAATCATTCATTCTACCTAGTATATTAACACATCGAGTTTTGAAAATCCGTTATTTTTTGTTTGTTACATTCTTCGGCTCGCAAGATTCCTCTAACGTCAATATAATTAGGTAATGATAATGAAATTAGTTAATAATACGAGAATTATCACACTTTATAAACATGATATTGTTCATATTTATCATTTGTTTATATAATACCTTATCTATCCAACAGGAGTTATGTGAAATTGTTTATTTTGTTTTGTTTATTGTTAATTTCATTTGGAGTTTTTAAATCTCAGTAATTTACATCATTCACTTCAAAGTATTTTGTGTGTTTATTGTTCAGTTTACTTGATTACTCGTTTTATTTACAATACCATAACGTCCTTATCATTGTGCTTGTGTGTTAGGATTGAAGAAAAATTTTTTTGAATATATTTATATATATATATGTAGTCGTATGGGGTGATTCAGTTGCACAATGGTTAATTCTAACAAGTATTGAACCTTTGACCACAGTAATTTTATGTACTGTTTCTAAAGAGTTATTATGTTTTAAATGTATATTTTTAAAAAAGTTTATAGTCTACTGAAAAATAATGGTAATAATAGTCAATTCATTCAATAATATATATTTTAGTATGTAAGGTGATTTTCAGCGAAAAAAAGTATTATGATACGTTGTAATGAATTACTCTTACCTGAGACGTAATTGACAAACAATGTGTTGAAATTCGGATGATATATTTATAGAGACTGGTCATTTTAAAGAAAATTTACATCACTGATTGACTTTGACCTAGATAAGGTGATTGTTCGGTACTAGTATATTATTCCAAAATCATCAGTAATCGAACTTAGGACCCTTAGGTCCCATCAAATTTGACCAATAAGTCGGAACCCGATACTATGAAAAAACACCTTAGTATTTCCTGGTTTCTTTTTCAGATAGTTTTTGCGTTAAATCCAACCTATGATGCAGTCTATCTTCAATTTTACTATAAAATGATTTTGTAACAGTCGTTTACAGCTAGTTATTTTCAACCATAAATATTCTGGTTACACACTTACCTCTTGGGACATCGCTGAAACAGCTTTACGAGGTTTGTGTATTCTGGAGTCGATTGTTCGTTACTTCTAACTTGGTTTGAATTCTTTTCAGTTTATGTGTATGATTTTTTCTTATAATTCCAACTCTTTTGATCATATTCAAGTTACAGAATAACGAAAGGTCATACATGTGATTTTTTTCAAGACTTGCTTCTATCTGGTAAGGAATCGTGGTAGAGTATAGTGATATCTGCAAGGAATATAACTCTCTGAGTTTAATCCGTAATGTATCTCGATGACTATTGCTATTGCAAATGTCAAATATCTAATGAAACTTTTTTTAAAAGAACAGTTTTATTCTGTCCCCTTTGTTTACTAGATTGGGAGTGGACGTACCCCTCTAGAATCGATAACGTATTCATCACCAATAAATAGTGAGTTAATTTTGGTTGACAGTTTTTGTCTGTTTTGTCTCGTTTTGACTGTCAAAATGTTTATTCCATAATAATAATAATAATAATAATAATAATAATAATAAAGTAGAATGATGTTTTGGTCGGATAATAACTGCCCACGAGACCATACCTATTGCCTTATTCCACTCACAGGTATTCCATAAACCATTCGATAGTCCAAAGGACTGATCAGATAGCTACATATTTGTAATATGACCCATAGGTAAAATATATTAGAAGTGCTGTTATTTATGTGTACTAAGGTGGAGTTCGGTGTCATATGAGTTAAAATGCACCTCGTTTATTGATTCGTAATTAACTAACTAGTCAAGAATGAAAGTACGGGTCGTTAAACAACCTCATTCAACTCTTATTGTAAATCGTAAGATTGCTTGTTTTGCCTGTAATCCTGATTTCCTAATTGACTACTGTTAAATTTAGATTAATTAACGGATCATGAACTCCGAATACAATCAAATTATCTTAATTCGACTGAAGATTTACTTGGGGACTTAGTTCTGATACTATAATCATGGGTTATTTATATGCGGTCATATATGCCTTCGGAGTTCTTGAAGCGTTTAGAAACCTTACCTAAATTATGAGTTAGATCTACCCAATTAGGTGATAAAGTAAATACATCAGCTTCTCTTGAAGTTGATCTAGCTTATCGAAAGATATTGATTTTCTGAACGCGCTTTAGGCATTCCTCTTACTTAGATATTGTTCAACTAATAATTGTTGGCAATTAACTATTTTACTTCCTGTAATCAAGCTGAACATGTAGGAGCGACATTTTGTACTTGATAGAGACTAGATGTAGATATTTCCAGATTCTCCTTGAGTTATTTCCGAATGGTTTTGAACCTTTTGAAACTTTTACTCATATTTTCTTTGGGTTTATTGGCAGTCTCAGAAAGGTGAACGGTTCTTGAGTTTAGTGACTAGAAGCGTTTTCTTCACCAATAGATCTGTGTTCGAGTTTAAATTGAAACATTGTTTATTTTGTCTTCTCAACTGCGTGTTAAATTCAGAGTGGAGAGTCTTCAGCAGCTCCTATGCCTTCAAATAAAGTATCGCTTCCTCAAAGCCTTGTTTAATGTAGTCTGACTTTGCAATGTAACTTTGTTGCTACATCTATGTTTATGTACCTGACCCCTCAAACTGAAGTAAGTGATCCTGATAAGATCCCGTCGACCATGTTACAATGTGATCATTGGTCCAACAGATTGATTATTACGCTCTAGATATAAAAATCTTTTTTAATGCCAGTTAATTAGCAACGATTGGCAGGAAATCCTATTTTTACCTTGGTTTCGTGGTAGTTTGCGCTTGTTAGTTAGATATATCTATATTCTTAAGGGCATTAATATGCCCCTACCTAGTTTGTTATCTTACCACCCAATATCAATCAGAGATGTTACAACCGAGCTATTCTTCTCTAGAATCATGTGTAACCTACTTTTTCATACCTATTATATACCATTTCAATTTCTTAATCGTAAAATGAGAGTTTTATCGTTAAATTCATCTTCATTTTTATCGTCTATCATTACAGGATCCAACTCTTCCTTCAATATATTATCTTCAGATCCCCCAGCATTACCGGATCGTCCAGTATTAACAAAACCAACTCAAACGATAAATGTTTCTAGTGGTCGACCAACAACACTAAACACTACCAACAATAGTATTACCCCTGTCACTAGTTCCATTAGTACTGTTGGTGATCATGATAATCCTGGTAGTTCACGCGGAAAAATCATTACAACACCGAATGATGATTCTCACACTACTCAACATCAAAATAATAGTAATAGCGTTGATTATAATGCAGATAACAGCAAAAAACAAATACACAGTCCAATTGTAACTTCAAGATTTGAATCTAATCCCAATACAATAAGAAATAGATCACGTCCACTGCCCCCACTTCCACCTACACCGATTCGATCATCGTCGATTACACGAACGGAGAACTCAATCACTCATCATCATCAATTGAAACAAATCAATCCTATAAGTAATAGTATAAATGGAATTATACTTAGTGGTAATGAAACAGCTCCTCCGTTACCTGAGCGGAAAGTAAGTTGTAATATGAAATGTTTTATTTGCTTGCGAATAGTCTCTTATCTGTTTGTTTGTTTGATTTATACACTATATAGCGTATGGAAGTATGATTTTAGTAAACATTTGTCAACTAATTGATTCATAATTTCAGAATGGCTGACTTCCCAACTTCTCATACTTAATCCGTCTAAATGTCAAGCTGTTAACTTCAGCATGAGACATGAACGGAATCTAAACACCATTTTGAGATCCCATAATACTTGTACCATTGGAAACTCTTTGATAAACACAGTGTCGAAGGTCAATTATCTTGGTGTCACCTTTTCCTCTGATCTCTCTTGGTCTTTCCACGTTTTATTGTTATCGAAGAAGGTTTTTCTGTCTGACTTACTACATAAAGACATTGCATCCTCTGGGGATTACTCGTTATTTACTCTTACAATTTGTCAATTCTTACATATTACCTATTCTTTACTGTTTTCCATTATTCTTTCCCGGGCTTTTGATAAAAGACTTTGCTGTATTGCAGAGAGTGCTGAAGGCAGTTAGCAAGTTGTGTGGTGAATCTTTCGAGGTCATAATTAATATGGTTGTGGATAGACATCTAAAGTCATGTAAACTCCTGGAAGGTGTTATTTTATCAGATACTAACCATCTCCTTCACTCATATCTTTCTCCTTGTATATCTTCTGGTAGAACGAGACGAAATTACATTAAAATGCAAGCACGCAAGCAAAAGTATAAAAGTTCTATAATACCTTACCTAGCAAATATACTCTGTGACGTAAAGGTTGTTAGAGTTAACCTAGTCACTAACCTGGATTCTTAACATGGCTTTAATTTTAAAAGTTGTAGTTTTTCGAGTTTTTTTTTCTTTTTTATTTGTCACTATTTTTTTGCGTTAGCAACTTGTTCAAATACCCTGTGCTGAGAATTCTAGATTGTACCAAAATATAATATTGAATAAAGCCATTAAATATTTTTTTAATAGTATAGAGTTTCCATACACATACATACACTTTCATTCAATGAATTTCGCATATATCCTAGCTCACAATTACTGAATGGCATACTTTTCATTCCTGTAAACTCAGTCCTAAAACAAAACAAATAAAATCCGTTAACTCCTTTACATTTTACTCATTTAATAAGCATCTTTTATGTTTACCTTTGATATGATACCTAATTAAATCAGCTGAATATATGTGTGATTATTTCGAAAAGTAATTGAAAATAAATTATTTTTGAATTACTACATACCTAATGTATCGTTGGAAGAAGAATTTTAGACGATTTCGATTGTTTTACTCTTTTTATGATATGTCTGTCGGGGAGATCCAAAGCATTCATCGAAAACACCCAGAAGGGCCCTGAAAACAGTGAGAAACGTTTCATCCAATCAGCATTGAATAGAAGTCTCTCAAATACATCTAGAAAGTGAAGAGTCACGTATCACATTTCTGATTAGAGGATTACCTATCCTGCTACAATGTTTAGTATGATTCCAGAATCTTCTAGATACCCAAGGCCATCTGAAATACTGTAAACACCCTCTATTTTATGTACATAAACTAACCTTGTTGTGAAGCGTTCTTTTCACACTACTGGTTTTTCCTCTCTTGTTCAAGTTGTCGTGTAGATTTATCCTGATCCTATTCGAAGTGCTTAGGAAACCGATCCAAGTGTTCAATTAGAAGACTTATCGGTGTGGAATAAATGAACCTGAAGTCTCTGCCAGATATACTGAGTTTTGGATAAATAAGATTTAGCTTAAAGAATCCACTGAAGTTATAGAATCATATTCCTAATATATCTTCTGTTTTTTCCTCACTAAACTACATAAACTTTTTTTATAGCTTTTAAACTTTTATAAATTTCAAGTTCACTTATGACTACTTATATTCGACATTCATCATTTAAGTTTCATGCTGGATACCACACTACACTGTCTACTTTGCTATAAACAATTGGAAATGGTATCAGTAAACCTTACAGTTAAAATTTTAAACTGAAATTTCAATTATTACTTACGTTCGTTGCTCATCATAGAGGATAAGCCGCCGATAAGGGATCTTCAATCAACTCTGTCATGAGCACTCTCCTTTCTAACTGTTCCCAAGTTTTGTTCATTATTTTTATGTCTGCCTCCGATTCCCGGCTCAAGTTGTTCATTGATCTGCCGCTTTTCATTTTACCTTGAGCAATTCAAAATAACAACCTTGCTAAAAACAAATTCTAACCAGAAAAAAAATTCAAAGTATACAAACTTATAATACGTACTAGTGACGATAGTGTCTAACTTGGTAAATAATTCGAAAACTTCCATTTACAAACTATGATACCATTGAATGATTATCTGGAGGAATCATGAATTAACTAGAGTTAAGGAATTGTAGGCTGTCAAATTATGTCTCAATGACATCATCTTCACCTCGAGACATGGATCTGACAATTCCTGGCAGAGTCATTGTTACTCATAACTTGAAAGTTTCATTCAAGAATGAAATAACTGTCTATTTTTGGTTTTCACTGAATTTTCAGCTGATGTATTTTTTTGTTCTAACCGCCTTTGAACTAAATGTCTAAATGAGGAGTTTGATTAGACTGACATCATCCTGTGATAAAAATCCAACTTCACACAATGTTAATCACAAATCATAGAGTTATCTCTCCAGCATAATAAAACCAAGTAACGTGTCCATATCTAACAACAGTCAAATCTCTCACATCACTGAAGGTCATCTAATAGGAAATATGATTTTTTTTTAGGAAATGTCAGTATGGCTAGTAGGGTAAGGGTTGAGAAATAAGGATTAAGTTGTGTGTTTAGTTATATTAAGGTCATTTGGAAAAATGGTGAGATCGTTAATGTCACACCACTCAAATAGATGATAATGATGGAGAACTCTCTAAATATATATGACCATCTATCACGTGTATGCAGATTATTGACAGTAGAGAAGGTTATGACGAATACTAAATGTGGGTGGGGTGATGATTTAAGCTTGAAGGAGAAAAATTGACTAACAACCGGTTTAAAACCACAAACAATATATATTTATGTAGCTTTGCTATCTAGAATCTTGTTCAACACAATCCACCATAATAAGTATGTTTGTTTAGGTAATCTCTCACTTAGGATGATCTCGTTTTATCATTACATATGAATGAATGAGGTTGAACTAGTTCAGAGTAAATACAAGTGTTATGAATACGATTGACTCTTATGAGGAATAACATTAAGACAGTATTTTTATATCAACCTTATAATGAGTACGCTTCATTGTTATTATCGGGTGTTATGAAAATAGTCAATTTTAAGTTTTCTCGACACAAACCGACTTTGATTAGACAAAGAATAAAGATCACAAAGAACACTGAACAGTTGTGTTGTCTTACTGTGTGACTCCTTAGCATTGTGAACTTATGACCCCACAAGAAGTTATTTCCTACTGAACCAATGTTATTCAGGTTAAGCACTTGCTACAAGACCTGATGGTTCTGAATCCAATCTCTTATGGGGTCGTGGATATCCACTGTTTATGAGTTTCATACTACAACAAAATACCTCATTAGTACTTCCTTGTTTTCTATTGTTATTTAACCCAAATCTGTTGGTAATGTGAAACTTGGGATAAGTTTTACGTTTAATTTTTTTAAAGTAAAATTCACCGACTCAACCTTTATTTTTATTTCTCCACTCCAGAAGTCATTGAATTACTCAGCTATTCTTTTGTTATCGTTATTGTTATTAACTTATTTATTTTCTCGGTTTCGCTTTTAGACTAAAACATCTGGTAGTGTAGCGACTACACCAGTGACACCGACTCCAGGACGACAAACTCACGGTGTTGATGATTCTTCATCCTTTGATTTCTCTTGATCTACTTGTTTATTTTAATTTCATTATTATTGTGTACACAAAATTTATAATAAAATTCACTCAGTAATTCTCATTCTTAATGATTGTTCCCTAGTTTTGTTTATCGAATGTGATTACTCAATTTAACAATGATATTTATAAATATAATGTGATATAAAGCGCCTTATTGCCAACATCCGTTTTTCTCCCTGTTTGCTCAAACTTACACACACACACACACACACACTCATACTTAATATATACATTTATCCTTCGGTATCAACATGTTCATTTCATTATGGTGCCTTATTTAAACCGTGTGTTATTAGTATGATTTTTGTCTTCTCTGTTCTGTTTACCTTTTTTCCTCTGTTGTTCCTTTATTGATTCAACGATTGATTTCCTGTTTGTTATTTCTATTATCATCTCTCAATTATTGACCATTGTGTTATTTTTGTAGTAGTCTGTCAGTGATTTAAATCTGTAAATTAATATTCACAATGTTCACCGTCAATTTTTTGCTCAACACACAACATTTTGATTCCCGTATTATGATCAAACTGAAATAGTACTATGGTTTAATTGTCGGTTGCATTAAACTTCTTTTTTTCTGCCAACTTATTCTATTGTTGCTTAGATTCGAAACCCTTACATTGTCATTTCTTACTGTTTTTCTTGAACATCATATTGAGGAGTAGGCACTGATTAATTTGTTTAGAATCAATAATGATGAAACTAGTTCCAGCTTACAACCACAAATACTTTCGTTTATTTATTCACTTTTAATATGTATCAAAATTATTTCTCTGTTTATATTTATGATTGACGGACTAATCAATCGACAATCATCATATTATTTTGATATACTGATATTTCAGACTATTTTTCGCGCTTTCTCGCTCTCTCCTATTCTTCATCATTTTCGTTGATTGAATAAATTATCGGCCTACAAATGAACATTGATTACCTTCTTCATATTCATGTGTATTTTTTTTACAATGAAACTTCTTGATTATAGTTTTTCTCTCTTGTACTGAAAGTAATCGATCAGTTACTTATTTTTTGCAATTCAACTTGTATATTATTATCATTATTACGAGTAATTATCTATCGCTGATGAACTTTCTGTTAGACTTTTCTCATCTGTTTGTGTTAAATTGTTTGTAGATCTTTTCTTTTCCAACAAATCCAATTATGTAATTCATTCTTTTTTAATGACTACTGATGATCACAGTCTCTATTGTTTCGGTATATATATATATGCCATTTGATTGAAGTGATTGGTTTATCGTATAATATAGAAGATTGATCAGATTTTTTGTTTCGTTAATTGAGCTGTCTGCTTGCCTCTATTTTTAAAAATAAAATGAAATTTTATGATATCTGTACATGCTTCTTAATGTGGTTAATTGTTCATTTTGTCTTTCTGGGGTTTTTTAAAAATTGTCTTAGGACAGATCTACGTTAATATGTTTGGTTTAATTATTTAAAGTGGAGCAGTTAAGCTTGTTGATCGTTTATTTATTCGGAAAGTCTTATTAGCACTAGTAGTCTGGTTACTAACACAAATACAGAAAAGTAACTTGATATTTTCTATTTTACACTAATGACCACGCATGAGAGATGTCCATCTACCTATTTAACGGTGAAACTTGTTTGACACCAGTCTTCTCTGTATTGATTTATGTCTATAAAACAGCTTTTGAAGATGTTAGATTAGAAATGCGTGCAAATTAATCCTCGTGTAGATTAGAACTTCAGAGTTAATAGCGTCGAATTTAAATTGAGAAGGTAAGTAGAATGATAAAACTGATAATCTTTATTATGAGTTTTTTGGAATATGCTTTACAGTTACCGAGTCATCGTTCACACTGAAATTCAGGGCTAAAGGCAGTGAGACAAAAACATGACATCAGATAACGAAATCATTGCCTGTTGAACTTAGTCATACCGTCAGGTTGTTACTATTTATTTGCACACCTAAACGTTGGTACAAAAGGGCGCCAAAAATGTATATCTGCCAAACAGTAAAAATGAGATTTTGAAGAGATAAAGAAAGTAACGGGAGTAAAATACAAAATAAACAAAGAGGAATAAAAACTGATTTGTAAGTTTGAAATAATGACAATAGTAATAATAACGATAGTAGTGGAAGAAGAAGTCTAGTTAAGAAAGATACAATATGAAAGAATTTCAGTTTAAAAAAGTTATCCTCACTTCAATAAAGAAAATAAATGGAAGTCATAGTAGGATCGCTTTTTGTTTCTATTCTGAACCATATCTGATAATGTCTCAAGCCACTGTTTTGGACCAGCTCTAGAGCCCTAACCAGGAAGTTTTTCAAGGACCAACAAATCACAATTCTGTACAACTTTTATACCGCGACACTATGCCATACACTGACCACCTCCACTTTTTCCAACCAGTCCCAGCGTCGGCAAATAGTGCACGATATGACATTTTCTGAAACAACATTCGCGGTGCATGTCCAAGCCACCAAAGTTGGTTTTTCAAGATTGTGATATCAACTAAATTATCATCGTTGCGTCCGAACACACGATGCCGAACCTCTGCATTACCAATATGGTGTTGCCACTGGATGTCAGCAATCCTTCGGAGACAACGATGATCGAACACAGAGAGTCGTCTAACATTCTCAACTCATAGAGGTCAGGTTTCGCAAGCATAGAATAAAACTGCTCTCACTAACACATTGTAGATCCGACCTTCTACAGTCAGACTAACATCAGGAAAGCACAAAAAATATGGCCCAGATTGGCATGAGCCGCTCTGGCTTTCACAATGTCTGAATCGATTTCATCACCCGCGCCACCACCAGTACTTACACACCTACCCAGATACACGAACTTCCCCACTGCTTCTATTCGCTTACTACCCAGGGTGAGTGCAGGATCAGGGCCCTGATAGTGTTGTAAAAGTACCTTGCACTTCGAAGGTGCAAAGCACATACTATACCTACGGACACTGATTGCCAACTCATAAAGGGAGGATTGCATGGCTTGGATATTATCACGCAGTAAGGCAATATCATCCATATACTCAGGGTCGAGAAGTCTTTCTCCAGACAACAGATCCACACCGCCATTACTCACATCCATCAGAGCTGTTTCCATAACACCATCGATAACAAAGTTAAAAGGGAATGGTGAGATTGATCAATCTTGCCTAACACCACTACTTGAATGGAACAATGGAGAAAGGTGGTTGTATGCCCTCACTCTGCTTGAGTTGTTTGTATATACGGCTTTTAAGATGTGAATAAACTTCTCATGTACATCCTTCAATAGACAATCCCAGATAACAGTCCTGTCCAACGAGTTGAAGGCGCCTCTGATGTCGAGAAACATTGATTGTTGGCCTGCAGTAAGTATGACAATGTCCTAAGACTTAGCAGAGGTTGAAGATATGATCAATAAATCCTCGACGAGAACGAAAACCAGCCTGCTCCTCGCTAGTCAATATTTCGTAGATTATTCAGGATCCGCGAAGTATGACGGAAGCCAATAATTTGGGCGCAATCGGAAGTAGACCTATACCCGATAGTTGTTGCATTGGTGACGTGAACCATTTTCAAAGATGTGTATAACTATCGACTCATTCCACGATTTGGGAATATTCCATTTCTACTTTAGTGAAAGTGACAAGTTTTATAAAGTAAACAGATGTCACTCTAAATCGCGATTTGGTTTAAATTAGATTTATCCTGGTTCAAATAAACTATACCTTGTGTTAACACGTTCAATGTTCAAATTCAGTGTAATGAATTCAATAGATGAACAGATTGCATATTGATGGTAATGTGAACATTTTTCAAAATATATTCAAGTATTAGATCTTAATAATATCTTGTTTTCAATTGTTACCAGCATTTTACTTACCTGCTTAAGCCTGTTACCGCTTATGAGTCACAGGCCACCAACCAGGAAAGTTATTCGAGTATCTATCACTATTTCCATCTATATCAATATGGATTGTTTGAAATAGGAAGATGATTAATGTTCATAAATTAAATGACACATGAACAGTCTACAAGACAAAATCGATATTGATTGTTTAAATTGTAACAGATTGAGTTTGGTTTGATATTGCGCAATTACAAACGATCTGGATATTCTTTTAATACAGAACATCATCTATGCTAACTAAATAGATCGAATGGCTAAAACCTCAACAAAAAAATGCTCGACACGATTGAATAAGATAAAAAGAAAATCGTTTAAGGAATATCCAATGTTTAAAACACTAGGAGGATTAAATTACTTTTGAGTGAGTTCAATTTAATCATTATTAAATTGAATGAATATCAATTTTAAATAATCTACCAAACTAAACAATCTTCACTTGAACATAAAATCACAGTGGGTAAATTAAACTTATTTCATATTGAATAAATCAGTATACATGAAAACCCAATAAGAGTCAATGAATGAAGTTCACTTGAAACCGATGATTGAATGTTAGAATTGTTTTCTTTCGAATGTTATATATTTTTTTGAAGACTTAGCATCACTAGGAAAATTACAGTGTACTTTACTTACTTACGCCTGTTACTGCTCGTGAAGGAGCATAGGCCGCTCACCAGCATTCTCCATCCAACCCTGTCCTGGGCAATCCTTTCGAGCTCCGTCCAGTTGTAATTCATCGTTTTCATATCTGCTTCTATTATCCGACGTAATGTGTTCTTTGGCCTTCCTCTTTTTCGCTTCCCTTCAGGATTCCAAGTTAGGGCTTGCCTCGTGATGCAGTTTGACGATTTGCGTAATGTATGTCCTATCCATTTCCATCGTCTTTTCCTAATTTCTTCTTCAGCTGGAAGTTGGTTTGTTCTCTCCCACAGAAGGCTATTACTGATGGTATCCGGCCAATGGATGTTGAGTATCTTGCGTAGACAGCTATTTATAAATACTTTTACTTTCTTGATTGTGGTTGTTGTAGTTCTCCAAGTTTCAGCTCCGTACAGTAGAACTGACTATCTTGACTGACTATCTTGCTTTGCCGATCCTCGCCTTTACGTCTGCATCTGAACCTCCTTGTTCATCGATGATGCTTCCTAGGTATGTGAAGGACTCTATATCCTCCAGAGTTTCGCCATCAAGAGTGATTGGATTGCTGTTTTCCGCTTTGAATTTGAGGACCTTGGTTTTCCTCTTGTGTATGCTGAGGCCTACTGATGCAGAGACTGCTGCTACACTGGCTGTCTTCATCTGCATCTGTTCGTGTGTACGTGATAGGAGGGCTAGGTCATCTGCGAAGTTCAAATCGTCTAATTGATTCTGAGCTGTCCATTGTATTCGGTTTTTCCCCTCAGTTGTCGAGGTCTTCATAATCCAGTCGACCACCAGAAGAAAGAGGAAGGGGGAGAGTAAACAGCCTTGTCTGACTCAAGTCCTTACTTGGAATGCATCTGTCAGCTGTCCTCCATGCAGGACTTTGCATTGTAGTCCATCGTATGAGTTCCGGATAATATTGACAATCTTCTCAGGAACTCCGGAGTGTCGAAGAAGTTTCCATAACGTCCTCCTATCCACACTATCAAATGCCTTTTTCATAATCAATGAAGTTGATGTATAGTGACGAGTTCCACTCAACTGATTGCTCGACGACGATCCGTAGTGTTGCAAATTGGTCTGTGCACGATCGATCCTTACGGAATCCAGCTTGTTGATCCCGAAGTTGGGCGTTTACTGCATCTTTCATCCGGTTCAGCAACACTCTGTTGAAGACTTTCCCTGGTATTGACAGTAGTGTAATGCCTCTGTAGTTTTCACATTTGCTCAGATCTCCTTTCTTTGGAATCTTGACGAGGTGTCCTTCTTTCCAGTCCATCGGCACTTGTTCCTCCTCCCAAATCTTTTTGAATAGAAGGTAAAGCATGTTTGTAGTTACTTCGATGTCTGACTTCAGTGCTTCAGCTGGTATGTTGTCGGGTCCTGCTGCTTTCCCGTTCTTGATTTGTCTGACGGCCATTCTAATTTCTTCCGTAGTTGGTGGATTGACATCTATATGAAGATCTGTGTGTGCTGCTTCGATGTCCGGTGGATTCATTGGGGCCGGCCTATTTAGGAGTTCCTCGAAGTATTCTACCCATCTTTTCCGCTGTTGTTGAATTTCAGTGATTGGCTTGCCTTCTTTGTCTTTGACCGGTCTCTCTGGTTTACTGTATTTCCCTGATAGTTTCTTCGTTGCATCGTAAAGCTGTTTCATATTTCCTTCTCTTGCAGCTTTTTCCGCCGTCGTTGCTAGTTCTTCCACGTATTTCTTCCTGTTGGCTCTAATGCTCCTCTTCACTTGCTTTTTTGCTTCTATGTATTCAGCTTGTGCTTGGACTTTCTCTGCTTGCCTTCGGCTGTTGTTGATTGCTGCCTTCTTGTTCTTCC